CACACACACACACACACACACACACACACACACACACACACATATATATATATATATATATCTGTGTGTGTGTGTGTGTGTGTGTTTGCATGAATCTCAAATTAGTTGGGCGGCTCAGGAAGGAGATACAGATGATCAAGCATAGCTTCCGACGATCATTATTCAAATGAAAAGTAGAGAAGGAAACAACTCACTCGAACAATCGACAGAATAAGCCAAGAAGAAATCTTGTAAGGCGATAATCAACTTTCAAGAAGATGGGAAACAATATTCGGATCATATATTGACCGAACCAATGATTGTCAGACGATTTAGTTTACTACAAACAAATAACTTTGTAAATAGTAACCCCCCCCCCCCCCCCAGCTACTGAAATGTTAATGGTGGAGGGGCTAATATGTATTTTTGTAGTATTGAGATACAAAGCTATAAATAGAAGTTCATATTATGAATAAAAGACACATTTTTTGTCTTTCTACTATTATTCTCTCTCTCTCTCTTTTACTCACTTCCAAACGTAATGTTCCATCCCTAAGGCGTGTTTCTTGAACATTCTTAGATTCAACATCTTTTAAGGCGTGGTGAGCGTGGAAACATGTCGTCAACAAAAAGAAGAGCTCAGTAACAACAACAGGAAGAGTCCAGCTAGAGGAACGAAGGAGAAGCGGCTTACACCCGAAAGTTCATGGAAAAATTTGTTCAACAAGGTCTGTAAGACGTGAGAACCCGGATTACCAACCAAACGTTTGGACAATTCTCAAAAGTCCTTAGGGTGGTCGCTGCTCTAACAGCTGTCCCAATTCCAGGAGGAGGCCCAACGCGACGAGGAACACTCAACCACCCTAAAGGGGAACCGCTAGTTAACAATGGAGGAGGGGGATCCACCTACATGAAAAGCCCAATGACAACCTATGCCAAGACAACGCCAGATTTGGCTCTGTGGAGGAGAGGGACTAACCGATGCAGACTAAGGTACAAAAGGTAGTTGAATAACATTTTCCTTCTACAACTCTCCGGAGTTGAGCCCCTAGAGAAGTTCAAGATGCCTCTCTATTTCACTGAAGAAGATCCCCCTCTAAAGAAAAACCAATATAATGATGTCATTGTAATAATGACGACAATAAACAATTATCAAGTAAAGAGTATCATCATTGATGTGGGGAGTTCTGTGAATGTGTTATTCAAACGAGTATTCAACAAACTGAGCCTGACCACGTCAGACAATCCATTGTATAGATTCTCGGGTGAGAGGAAGGAAGCACTAGGAGTATTCGAGCTCTCGGTAAGTTGGGGGAAAAATGAAAAACAATTCAAGCTCGCATAAGATTTTCTCGTGGTGGATTCGCCCAAACTCATAATGTTAAAGTTGGCTGACCGTTGCTGAACAATATTCAGAGCAGCAGTATCTACTTGCCACGTCACTTTCAAGTTTGCTGGGGAAGGAAAAATCATCACAATCAAGGGTGACCTGGAGCAGTCCCGAGTCTGCTAACTGTGAGCTATAAGCAACATTGAACACGATTCTATAGCCACCCAAAACGCGAAGGAATATGGCTTGGAGACTAGCGAAGCCACTCGCAAGGTCCCTACGGTCGAAGGAGAACCATGTAGATCTGGGTACGTGGCACAATATATATATATATATCGGACATCTGATTGGCAGTTGTAAGTACCCTCTGGCCTGGGGTTTGAATCCCCCCGAGTGTAGTGTGTGATACTCAAATTTTTAGGCGAATTGAGAATAGCTGGGCTCCTATAATAGCCTCTGGCCACTCTCTCTCTCTCTCTCTCTCTCTCTCTACACACACACACACGAGCCGAGGCCTAAATTTAACATCGATGAACATTAATAGCAAAGATAATTCAAATCAATGTAGTATAACCCATGCATTAGCTCATGAACATTGTCCTTGAAATTCCATCTTTGTTTTTTTTTTGGTCTAATAGCAAGTAAAACTATATGACAAGACCATTATCATGAGAAGAAACTTTGTTAAAAACACTATTTTTTCCAATAAAATATGTACTAAATAGAAAAAAAAAATGTTTAGTGAATCTGCAACTAATAGTATCAAAGCAAATGAGCAATTCAAGTAAATTGCCTCCAAGAAAAAAAATAGTCATGAGGAATACAAGCCTTGAGAAGAGAGCGAGAACATGACATTCAAATAATAAGCGAGAGTGAGATCCAAACATAGAGTCGAAAAAAACACATTGTTAACTCACTCGAAGCCCTTTATTTATAAGCGTGCCATATATTTTAAAGCCCCCAATGAGAATTCCTCCACAGTCACATCAAAATAAATAGGACGCTTCCAAATATATTTACTCCAATCTTTTCTTGAACAATAGTTATAAGCAAATGATTAAATGACTTTATGACAATAGTAACTCTTAAATTGCAACAAGCAAATTTGACGGCTATCCCAAATAGGAGTATGAAAAATGAATTGAATGTAACTATCTAATGCACTACAAATATTTAGGATGAGCCATCTATTATTAACAATAATATTAGAAAGCTTGATATGAATACAACATAAAAATCAAGTAAACAATAAATATGCCAAAAATCTCACAAAGTGAAGAACTATTCAATTTGAAAAGATAGACACCCTTTTATTCTAAAAACCAATTGTATATGAGCTTTCCAAGAGGTAAAAATATTGTATTTTATCTTGTGCTGAAGGACTCATAATTCTTATTACATGATTATGAACTATATGAATGAGAAATATAAAGTTTTCAAATAAGTTTAGATTTGTTCATATGTTTTATATCGTCAAGATTGGGGAGACCCAGGCCACCATTCTTTTTTAATGGTAGTAATCCATGCAAATATGATGGTGTAAATTATTAATGATATAAGTGAGTCTTTCATAATTTTTTTTTGGAGATGATAATAGTCCCTAATTAATATTAAAGATAACTTTAAATAATATATTAAAATATTTAGAGTTTATCAATAGAAGGTAAAAAATTTATTTATGATCAATAGCCAATGCAATTTTTTTGTCAAAATTTTATGAAAACCAAATTCTATGAGCGTGGAGAGCTAAAAGTGACATAAAGATAATTCCAAGGAAATGTTAATTAATTAAAAATTAATGGCTCCAAATTATTGTAGTATATAAACAATATCAATAAACTTGGATATGTATATATGTTGATATATAAATATTAACATAAAGATCAGTAGTCATATGAAGAATATGAAGAACACATGCGAGACAACTAATATAACAAAGATCATCTATTCCAAAAATAAATAAATAATTATATAATTCTTAGTATATATGAGATGAGACTCCATGTGTCCATTGATCATAATACCATCAGAGCTAAGAAACTAAGTGTACGTGAGTCTAAAAGATATATATGTGATGCTGACAAAAATATATGAAGATAAGTGATAAACTTGCCTTAAACTAAAAAAAGATATTGAAGAACCTATTCATCGCATTGTTGATAATAATTTAAAAAAGTAACTTGAGATATTCAAACTTTATCTAACTAATAAGTACAGAAGGAAAGCCCAAAATCCACAATTCTTTCATGAAAAATTTGCCAATTCAAAGTATCAAAAAATTTCAAAAGGTCAATCTTGAGTTTTTTTTTTTTTTTTTTTTTTTTTTTTTTTTTTTTTTGTGAGAACACACATAATTGAAATCAAATAAAAGCTCATTTGGTAAAATAATATTATATGCAATATCACGACAAAGAATGAAGGCAACCTCAACAAGATGTAATATTAGAAAGATTGTTCTTAAGCCTCCCAACAAAGTGCTTGAATAACCTTGTATATAGTCTAACAAAATGAGATGTGTTTATATTCATTAAGTGATTGTGCATGAGAGCCTTTAGGGACATAGGAACATTAGCTAGATTGTTTAGCATGGCCAAGAAACGAAAAATAGCTTCCAAAGCAATGTTATCATATGAGCTTAGTAATTACCATGGAGAAGTTATCTCATACAGTGTCTATTGATTCTGATTTTGATCCCTTGATAAATAAACTTAATGTTATATTAACCTTTAGAAAGTCTAACACAATTGACTCTTTACTTAATTAACTTGTACCCAAAAGAATTAGTATCAGCTAGCTACTTTTGGATTGAACAACCTTAATAAAAAGTTTATCATCAAGTGGTTGATACTTCGATTGAATTACAATCTCTAAATCTTTACTTATGGGATCAATTATATAATAAAAAATGTAGTCAGTAAAATTCCATTTTATACTTAGGGCCCGTTTATGGCAGCTTATAAGTGCGGGCGACGTTTTCAAAACGCAACCGTACCGTTTGGTTCGCGCGTTTCGCCAGCTTATCCGAAACCACGTTTGAGTTTTTACACTAAACGCAGGCCGCGGGGCGAACCCCGCGGCCCGCCCGCGGGCTGCGTTTTAGGATAAGCAGTTTATCCTGAAACACACAAGCTGCCCCAAACACACCCTTAGAAATGTAGTTTTCACAAAGTTCAATTAATTACATAGAATAAAGATGGGATCACCAAGCACAAAAGCTTTTCAAATAATTGAATATGATATCAAGAAATCATGACAAATACTTTAATATTTATTATACCTAAATTTACACTTTGGCCTATATGAATTTTCAAAATAAATGAGAACGATGTAAGTGGTTCCATGCCTTTGTAATGAGAACGTACATAAATTGTTTTACCCACTAGTCATTATAAAAAGCTATATTAAGAAGATACATGATTGCATTATAATTATATTAATTCTACAAGCTATAAGAAAAACTAGCAAAATTGGGATTTTATCTTAGTGAAATTGAGCTCCTTGTTCAATTGGGGCATTTAATATAATTCTGAGCGGGCAAGTGCTTTCGCTCATCCTCTGAATAATATGTTGGTTCGCACATGTCATCAAGGAAACTATCAATCAGATTATGATGATTTACCAATTGATGAAATATCCTATTCCAATAACCTAGTTCATCCAATTGATGAAAGCTCCTCATCTAGGGATCGAATGATAGTCAGAATAAAGTAGATGAACGACAAAGCTATGCCGATCGAGCTAATTCTTGACGATCGACAATCCCAATTCAGTACAGTTGAAGGAACAAGTCTTACCGAACCATGACCCATTGATTTCAAATGACCGAGTAAGTGGGTAGCTGATTTGTAGGCTTATGTATGCAAAATACATTGTAACGCTCACATTAAAGTATGGGCAAATATGAAATTTTATATATTGTACCCCCTCCTCTATAAGTGTGAGATATTTTATGAGAAAATACTAATAAATAAACTGATTACTGCTCATTGCTGCGCACTTCTCTTTCGATCTATCTCTCTCTCTTTCTTCTGTCTTATGCTCTGTTACTTGGGTGTGATTCAAAGATAGACCGACATTCAACACCAGCATACTTTGATTGTTTGTTTATAACCACATTAAAGTTGCATCAAATATTTACATATAATCATATTAAAATTTCAAGAAGACATATTAACATCTCAAAACAGTCTTTAGCTAAACCAAATAAAAAGAGATAAATTTCACAAATTAACATCAAATAATGCTAACTTCCTCAAAGCTTATTATCATATTTTTATCATAACTATTTCAAATAATTTAGCATATTTTAATTTTATTTAAATTTAAATTCATCAAGATCAAATTCAGTGCATTTACTCGTATCATAGTGTTTGAAGACATAGTTTTCTATTGTAAGATCGCAATATCAAATCACACATATTACTCTTTAGGCCCACTTTTCACAAAAAAGAGATTTTATATACCTGGAATACATACTTCATAACTCACACATAAGGAACTCAAAACTTCAATAATACTAAAATAGAACACAAAACTCATAAATTTACCGGATTTGAACTGTTTACTCTGTCTGTTTGATTCGGTCAATTCATGTGCGGGAAACAACAAATTTTATCTAAAATTCATATCGGTGTTGTGGGCAACTCAGCTCCATAATATCTTTTGAATTGAGCCTACGACGCTACCGCAGCTAAGCTTCACGATCATCTCATCATTTTCCAAACTTCTTAAATCCAGTTTCTCGTGTTTGTGGAGTACCATTTACAGAAGAATCATAGTCAAAGTTATTGAACAAAAGATGACAATCACTATTTCAAGGGCCGAGAAAGCGAATATGCGTTACTGCTGGCAATGGCTTCATGGGATCTTGGATTGGGCGAACGCTTCTTAACAGGAGTCTTCCAGCCCGAAACCGACACCTCCCATCTCCTCACTTACCCCGACGTTGATGAAGGCCGCCTTCATCTCAGGGAGGTCAATCTTCTCGGTGCTACTACCATAGCCAACACAGTGAATGGGTGTCGTGCTCTTCCGTGGGACCCTGAATGCGAGCTGTTGTTGTTGATGACAACTTGGGTGCTCGAACAAATGGAGTTGACAAAGAGGTTTAAGTTATATTTTAGCAATATTAAAGTTTTAAATTTCATATGCCTAATTTATGTAGTTTGGTGTCGTGTATGTAATGCTCCAAAACTAATAATAAATATAAAAAATCAAATTCGTGCATAGGATTTTAAATGTGGGTGAAGTACATGTGATATCAATCAAATAAAATATCTCCACTCGATCTATGACGCGTCGTGTTTATGTGTCACAGTGCCGTTTACCGAATCAGAACACCAGCGAGCCAGCGAGGATTTAGAAATAAAATTAGACGGCGTTAAACGGCTGGTCGGGCCAGCTGGGCGGTCGGAGCATTACGTCCTAACCCGTGCTTAAATTCGGATTAATCGGGGCCGGTCGGCTTTAAATACCCGTGTGTTGCGGGTGGAATCGGAGCGGATGCTCAGCCTCGCCCACAAGGGAGGTGGAAGAGAGAATAGGGGTTTGGGAAGAGTGCGGTCTACAGCGTTTCACGTTTTTTTCGTTGCACTTCAGTTCTTCCCGATAGCCGGCTTGATCTGTAGATAGGTAGATCTAGGTTTTTTTTTCAACTATCCATTTGGTTATTATTTTCCGGCCATGATTTTCTCGGCCATGATTTTCTCGTCCGTCGGAAGGCCGGTTGATCCGGTGATTTGGATTGTTTCGGGGTGCAAAATCGTTCAGGTATCTGTGCTTGTTCTTGGAAATCACTGGAAGATCCCTCGAGCGAGGGAACTTTTGCGGTGCGTATCTGGTAAGGACAAGTGATTAGCCTTGAACTATGTTTGCGCTGATTTTTGTTTTCTATTTTTTTGCTTTTTGGGTGATTCTTATTTTAGGTTTTTGAATTCACAGCCACTAGGTTGTGGATCTGAATGTTTTTCTGTTTGAGAACATGTCGTTTAATGAGTAATATTTGAATATTTATCTTTTAGTTCAGTTCTTATAAGAAATCGCCAATCGATGTTCAGCTCATGTGGATCTTGATTTTTTGTTTAAGTTTGAGCACTAATGTGGCCTATGATAATGGATATCTTTCTTATTTTGATCATTTTCTAACTTTATATGGAGCAAAACTGTCTTAGGTGGAAAATCTGTACTCGATCGTTGGTTTTCTTGATTTTTTTTGTTTTTTTTGGTGTTAGTTTTTGCTTTTTAAAAGCAGGCTGGTAGCTAGAAATCTTCTTTTACATGCATATGCATGCTTATTTTTATTAAATGTGATTAAAGTTACCATGGATTGTTCCATGCGGTTACTTGATTATTCAGGCAAAAGTTGTCAATTATGTGGTTGATTAAGGTCTAAATTTTGTTTTATCTCGTTTACATGTTATCTATACGAGTTGTTGTTATTACTGTCTTGAGAAAATATTCCATTGCATTTATTTCCTTTCAGTATTATGTATTTTTGTATTTTTAGTTGCATCATATTTGCTTTTGCATAAAAAAAATTGTATTGGGAGCTCATTACAAATTTACTCATGAGGCATTATTGTTATTGTAGCTATTATATATAGTTTTTTAAGCATCAATGCCATATAATTGTTTATGTGACTAAAGATTTGAAATGTTTCAACATGACATCAATCAAATTGCACAAGATTATAATTTGTACTTGAATGATCAAATTTATCGATATACAATAAGCAATTAGCCTTTTAAGCGAAAAACGACCATTCTCTTATGTTGCTTTTGTAATGACATTATATTCTGTTTTCTTCTCTTCAATTACAATATCTTGCAATCAATATCTTGCAATTCATTTTATTCTATAATATAAAAGCTTTTAAGGATAATGCTTCTTGAATTATGATGCTAATTTGGTCATGCAGCTAGTATGTATTGATTGTTAATATGTTATTAATTATCACAATATAATTTCAATGGATATTTTTAGTTAAATTTTAAAATCTCGTGTGATATTTTTGACCCATGGCAATTTATATGCTGTTAGTGGCATATATCTAAACTTTTGCTTCTATGTCGGAACTTGCTCACACACTTTAGTTTTATTTTATAAGTGATGAAATCAGCCCATGAGAATTTGTATTTTGCTGCAGTTGAGCTCCTAATATATCGACCATATTCTCTGCATTGTTAAATATCTTTGTTAGCTTTAAGTTTTAAATCCTGTAAAATTTTTGATAAAGTTTCATTACTTAAGGGGTTCCTTAAGATACTAAAAAATTAGATGCATTGCTATAAGGTGTGATTTTCTTATTACTGTGTATGAATCGACTCTCAACATTAATATTATAGGCAATGTTAGGTATGATAAATGATAAGTCAATATGAGTTTCTTTTAAGTATCTGGTAGGAGGTTTTTTCTACTATAGCTGTCATCTGGAGAATCACAAAGTTTTAAATTTCATTGGACTCTTGATTGCGTTATATTTCAACTTAATTGTTTCTTTCAACATGTTTGCTATGTTTTTTGTTGTATAGGTTTGCTTTTCAACTTCATTTCTTTCAATATGCATGCTATGTATTTATCTTGCAATATGAATATTTCATATCGGGATTGTGCAATGTCAATGTCATCAAAATATTTTATCATACTTGATTCTTTGACGTCAAATTTTGCTCCTTCTATCCCAAGTCTTATTTTTTTCTTTCTTTTCACTATGATGCCTGCTGACATAATTCATTAGGGTAGAGTTTATCACTGAAGTTGTGTGCTTACACAAATAATATAGCATTACTTTGGTGAATCTTTTGAACTGTCTTTGGAGATTGCTTCAACTCATACATTTTTTTTTGCTTTACAAAATTTTTGTTGTATTCGAGCCACTTCATTTTACAGTTAATGTGTTACAAGGCATTTTTCACGTTGAATTATTTAATGTTCCAGTTCCTGAGAACTGCCAATGATAAAAGATCTCTAACAATTTTCATTTTAGCAATTGGAACAAGGATTTCAAGATAAGCAATTCCATATGATTGTGTGTAGCTTTTGACCATTAATTTAGCTTTAGCATATTCAATTAATTATAATGATTGTATTTTATAGTTATATCTCACTTATTTCCTTTTTATTAATTTTATGAATCAATTATAACGTTTGTATGTTTCCTTTTTTAAGAGATTTCATCTATTCTTGATAGTATTATTGCAATGCTCATTGCTCAAAGCTTAGGGATTGTTTTAGGAATATAAATAGCATCTGTACTAGTAATAAAGTTTGGTGATTATGAGAAATACTTTTGTATGATAAAAATAAATATAAGTTGCATTTGATTGAAATTCTTACTTTTATTTGTAGCTTCAAGGGTTCCTTCAGTGGATTCAACGATAGGGATTAATTTGTTTTATCTGACTTGCTTAGACTGAATTGTTTTTTTTTTCTTTTATAAACTTAATGATTGTAGAAATGGGTTCCTGTGTAAGCTTGATTTGGGTAAGAGTGATTGGTTCTGTAATAGAATTTATTTGTTGGGATGTGGGGTAAAGGACAATTTATGAGCAAATAAATTATTTGTGAATGATAAGGGTGTGTGGGCACGCGCACATGCCTGTGTAAGTAGCAACAAATTAATTATTATTTTAATTGATGTTAGGTGTAGATGTTGGTCCTCAGATCTTACAATAAATGAGAAAAAATTGAAATTAATATTTTTGTGTCACTTATTGAAAACTTTTTGACATATTTGTGTTTTGCTAGTTTAAAAATATCACAATAAATTCTTCAATATCAATTTCTGGAATGGTATTGGAGGCGTGATTTTGAAAGAAACAAATGGCGTGGAACAAGATGTAGGCATTGAAACCATAACGTTTTGTTAAACCAATATTAAGATTTTTCAAATAAAATATATTATGATCGTGTAGATATTTCTTGATCATTGGATTTTTCAATGTGGTGGAGAAAATCACTCTTTTTAACAACTTTGTTCGTTTTCCTTATGCTCTATCCCTGAATGACACAATGCGAAGTTTTAAACACAACATTGTGCTTAGAATTTGTAGATTGCTTTTAGATGTATGTACAAGCTGATGAACCTTTTAATTACTTGGGAGACATTCTGGAATGACTTTTTTTTCAGTAATAGCTGCGAAGGATCTATCAATAATGATCATTTTTTGTTGCGAGGATTAGCGGTATATGAAATAAATTTGTGTGAGGAGTTTGTTATCTGGGATGTAGCTCCCAAATAAGTAGACTAGGGGCTAGGATTGAGCATCTTTGGGATTTTAAAATCATGAGAAGAGATGACGCTTGAGAGTGCTAAGAATAAGTAGTTGATGTGTGATGTTGTTCTAGTGATAAGTGCTTGTCTTTCAATCTTTTTTTTTTACTTCTTATTATGGTGCTTGAAGTACAATTTTGGACATTACCCTCTTCCATAAATGTTATATATGCATGTTTTTGCTCTTTTATCCACTTTGGTTGTGTTGTCCAATTTATGTTTTGTGGTCTCCCATGGGCATCCAATGCATTTTCCTTACATTCGTGCTTTAGAAGCACGTTAACAAGTGGGGTCGGCTATATGAATCCTTTTTCTCCTTTGTTTTATTGAGTCACATTTTCATTTAATTCTAATAAATTCAGATCATTTTTTTATACAACTTGCCCAAGTTTTTTTTAATGTCTCTCTCTTTCCTTTTTAGCATAAGTCAAATCCAAAACATCTACGCTCTTAACTGGGTTAACGGATTATCAATGTTTAATGTGACCAAATCGTCTAAGACAAATCTCTCTAATCATGTCTGCCACTGGAGCTACACCGACCCTTTCACTGATATATTCCTTTTACACTTGTGTCTAAGTGTAAGGCCTCTCGTCCACCTAAGCATTCTGATCTCCACAACACTTAAATTAGTTTTATGTTTCTTTTTTATCGGCCAACTTTCAGCACTATAAAGTATTGTGGGTCTCACTAATATCTTAGAAAATTTCTTTAGTTCTAAGCGTATTTTTTTTTATCACATCCTTCACTTTAACCAATCAACTTGAATTCTACTAAATGAAAATTAGCAATAATATTAAGATAAGAACTTGGAATATGACTCCACTTTCTTCATTAGTCATTTTAAAATCATAATTACAATAAATATTTCTAAAATTTTCTACCTTTATACCAACATGTCCATTGTAATATCCTCAAATAAATTTTTTTAAAGACATCATTTGTATTAATTATTTGAGGTTGTTACAAAATTTTTCTTCTGAGCATATATTTAAACTTAATTGTAGAGCTTTAAGAATCTTATTATCAACAACAACCTTTGGTGTTATAACTATATATCAAATTCTATTGATTTTTTATAATATTATCTTTCAACTTCTTATCACTAATTACACTTACGCCATTTCTAGTATGAATCTTACTTGAATATTATATTTTTAAAGCTTAAGCTATCAATATTCTTGGTCTTTTTCCAGCCCAATTAGTTTTTTTAATGCATGGGATATTTATTTTCTTTGAATCTTAACATCTTATAATTTAATTAATTTATTTGTGAGAGTACATATAATATTAGTTTCATTAACTAATTTCTTTACCTTGCTTATTTTCTACACCTACGCCATTTCTAGTATGAATCTTACTTGAATAATATATTTTTAAAACTTAAGCTATCAATATTCTTGGTTTTTTGCAGCCCAATTAGTTTTTTTAATGCATGGGATATTTATTTTCTTTGAATTTTAACATCTTATAATTTAATTAATTTATTTGTGAGAGTACATATAATATTAGTTTCATTAACTAATTTCTTTACCTTGCTTATTTAACAGTACATCCGGGCGCAAATAAAATTCCCCTTGCACACTTTTTACTTTATTTAGGTTGTACAACACGTCGTTTCTAGGAGACGCCCTAATATTTACATATTGATTTAAGAGATTCATGTCATTATTTTTTGATAAAGAACTTCATGTTGGTTGTCGACTATCCAACGCAGCGTTTTACTTTTGACATATGAGGCTTTGGAAGCATATCAATGTTTTGTGTTTGCTTGCTTGTGATTCTAGCTGGGAGAGGGTTTTTAGTTGGACTTTTTCTGATGTTGGTATCGTTTATCACTAATGCGGTTATTTCCATGGGATTTTTGGTATTTATGATTCCCATTCTTTCTTCTTTCATTTTAATTATTACAATGATTTTATTTAATGATGAGGACTTCTGTATCATGAGAATTTGTACTCTTTGATGTTCATAATTAATATTAAATATTGCAAAAGGAATCATTTATTTAATTCTTTTTTAGCTAGCCTTTTCAGGAGAGACCATTTTTTTGCTGCAGTTCATTTAGAGGCGTTGTTAATTATTATTATTATTTTTTTGGTCATAGGCTTGGTGGTAGATTGGGATATTTTCTCATTGGTCATTCTCCTTATTTTGTGGATGAGATATTGGACTTGATATAATCGATTTGGGCAGCTTCATAGTTTTTAAAATATGCCTAATTTGTCATATCCCTCGTTACTTTTGCTGAATGAAAGAATATACTTGTATTACTTATCTCATCTCATCTCATATTGAGTTTCATCACTACGAAATCATGATAGATTCTTCTTATCCCAAACTTGAACCTCATGATGGTGTTAGCCAATTGTGATGAATTGAACCTCATGATGGTGTTAGCCACTTGAATGATAGATTCTTCTTATCCCAAACTTGAACCTCATGATAGATTCATCATCATGATGGTGTTAGCCAATTGTGATGAGATTATTCTTTCCATTCAAATAATATGTTGAATGGATGTTTTTTAGCAAATTTTTCATTAGATTTAATTTAATGACTTCTATTTTAAATGAATGCTCTAGGCCAATGAAGCACCTATTGTTATTGTACAAACAAACGAAAACTATGGTAGTAATTTTTTTACAATAGAAAGGAAAAAAATAAGACTATAATGATGAATGTTAGAACTACTGAGAAAATTGGGTGAAAGGAGTGTAACAATGAAGGCTGCTGCAAGTCTGCCTCAATATACTGATGTGTGTTACCTCTTTTTGAGCGTTTTGATGTTGTCATTAGAATATTTCTGATGAATTAAAGCGCCCACTCATCACCCCCATCCCAATGTGTTTTATTTAATTTGGATCATACAACTTATAACTTAATAATACTTTTAGTTCGTCCTTAATACATCTTACTATTTTTTTACTTCGTCTGTATTTTGTAGGCTGTTAATTTAGGCATTAGTGTTACTATTGTTTCGTAGAATTCCACCAAAATGCTTGCTCAACGAGCTTGATTTTCATTTCAGGATTCAGTTTGTTGGAACATATTTCCTTTCCCTGTCTGCCAGATGGGGCCATTGAACTCAGATTGCGTGTCCGACACAAAAACAAGATTTGTGAAAAATAGTAGCCAGTCATTTGCTTATGTTGAAGCCATCTGTCCTCAGCCTCATCGTGCTGTCAGCTTCCCTTATTTTATTGAAGATCTTAGCAGATTCAGCCCCGTGCCCAAGAGGTATATCTTAATTATGTTGTTTGACCAAGATTCTCTCTCCTAATTTTTGTAAATCATGTATTTTTTTTTATTATCACGGTGCTTGGTCTGTGATCTGTGATAAGGTTGCGGTGCATATTTCTATTTGTTTTATTTCTTTTGGATATGGCCATTTACATTTCATCTTAACTTTTTCAACTTTAGCTTAGTTAGCTCTCCTCATTTGTTGACGTAGTGGATGTGATTCCTTGTATTATCGGAGCATGATAATCTTTTTTCCCCCCTGTTTGGTTGTGTATTTGGTTTGATGAAGTGGCAAATATTGCATGTTATTTTATTTTAATGACTGTTTAGATTCAAAGTTTAATGTAGTCTCTTAATTTTGGATAGATATGCTTTATCTTTTATACTCTTTCCATAGGAGTGCATGATGACACCATGCTTTTGGTAGCAGGACAGCCTTTAAGTTCAATATTACCGTGAAGGGGATTAGGACTTAGTTTTACGCTACAGTAAGATTGGAAGCAGAGGAAGTACAGTTAGTGGAGATAGGTCTCAGTCCGTGCATGGCACCGTGATGCTGGCATTTTTAATTCTCTCTTTAGAACACTATTGAGTTTTTTTTATTTTTTTAATTTTTGCACTGTTTTAGAGTTAACCCAAACCACGACTCAAACGAAACATCTTTATTGTTGATTTTGAATGAAGTACAACACGAACTCTTGGACGAAAAATAACACGAACATGTGAAATGTAATATAAGAAGTAACTACTCAATAAGTAATAAAATAAGAAGTACAAAAGGCCATGGACAGTGTTGGATAGCGTGGGAGAGCGGCAAAGAAGTAACCAAGGAGATTGGGGAAGAGTCAGCAATGGTTGGACGATTATCAAGGTGATCTGTAGTGTTTGGAGTGGCGTTGGGAGGGCCTAGAGTGGTTGGCGGTCTACGGTAAGAGGCGTCGAAGGGGGAGGCAATGGCGCTGCTATGAGGTGTTGGAAGGTGTTGTGGCATACTTAGAGGTGTAGGAAGAGGGTGCAATGTTGGATGTGTGAGCTAGGATCGTGCGACTTGCTGGAGGAGGCACAAGAAGAATGCGCTGCGACCAGAGTATGATTGGGGGAGTCGGAGGGTGCCCAGGGTGCTGGAGCAAGCGTATTAAGGAATGGTGGTCTGATAAAGTAGAGTAATCACCACTTTAAGTGAGGACCACCTTAAGTGAGGTAGAATCAGAGCACCACTTAATTGTCAGATATGTCCCTTACACTGGAAATGCCAAGAGGCAAACTTGAAATTGAAAGTTAAAACAAGCTCCTTAGGACCTATGTCAAACATATATATAAATAAAGGGAAGAGAGTAGCAACTAGAAATGGTGTAAGATATGAGAAAGAAATTGGGAAAATGACAGGGATTGAAGTGGAGTGATGTAGGCGAGATTGCAATGGCTGGGAGGCGGGCGAAAGAATAGGGCACGAGAAGTTGGTCACATGAGAAATTAATCAAGGGGAATCACACTCCTTAAGTAGGATTGGACCTATCTTGGTCCTGCAGGAAGGTTGGACCGGTTCAATTGTCATGCTCGGTCGACAAGTGTGAACAACCCATGCATCAATCTTTTGGGGTTGGAGGAGCTTCATCACTATTGGATGAAGCTTCTAGTTCTTCGCAGTAGGGTGTGAGATTCATGACATTGAATGTTGCTAAAATTTTGGGGTTGCCTGGTACGTCAATTTTTTACGCATTGTCGTTGAGCTTCTTAAGTATGTATAAAGGCTCGATGGCTCGGGATTTGAGTTTCCCTTGTGTTCCGGCTAGAAATCACTCATTCTTAAAGCAGATCCATATAAGGCCTCCTTTAAAGGATACATTTTTTTGGGATTTGTTAGTTGCTTGATATTTTTGGTTTTGTTTAGAAATTGTTTCCCCAACTCTCTAGTGGAGTTGCTGAATTTGGTAAGCACCCTCTGTGGTATCCTCAATGATATCTGTTGGCGGAATCAACTCAAATAGTGTGATTAAGGTGTAATCTTAGTAATTTCAAACGACATGTCCTGTGGCCTGGCTTGTTGATCTATTGTAGGCTAATTCAACTTGAGCGAGAATAAGATCCCATTTTTTTAATGTTTTCCCAATGAAGCATTGAAAAAGATTCCCAATGCTTCTATTAACATCTGAGGGTTTGCTCTAGAGGGTTTGCTAGAAGTGGCTCAAGAATTTAATTTATCGATCAGAGTAATGGTCCTGGGAATGCCGTGAAACCGAACGATCTAGCGGAAGTACAAATCGACAATATGAGATGCATCTAAATTCCAATAGCATACGATTAAATGTGTCATCTTTGAGAAACAATCAACTTTGACCATGACAGTCCTTATTTCTTTCTGTGTGTGGTAGTCCTAGGATAAAGTCAATGTTGACATCGACCCTAGGCGCTTTAGGGACCGGTAAAGGTGTGTACATTACAATCTTGTATTTTGGTTGTGTGTTTTGGCGACATAATAAATCTTACATTGTCGGGCGTGTCACTCCACATCTCATGTTAGTCAGAGCCAAACAAATGTTCTCACTAGTACAATAGCTTCGTCTCTGCCAAAATGGTCTTGCTAATTTGCTATCATGGGTCTCCTGGATGATGACTTCACATAGCGAGCATTAGGGAATGCATAATTTGTTGTGGCGGAACAATTAGATGCCTATTCTCTAGAATTGTCCGTGAGGTTTTTGCTGACATTGTTACCAGATTTCTTGAAAATCTTATTCTATCTCGTATAAATCTTTTATAACTTCAAAGTCTACCATGTGTTGATCAATTGGTGGCAACGACATAGAGTGTCCGTGACGCCGTTTTGATTTTTGACTTTATGTTTGAGTACGAACTAGATGAAAGTTAAGAATTCTACACGGGTAGCGTGGTGCTCATTGAGTTTATTCTGACTGTTTAAAAATTCTAGAGCTTCATAATTCGTGAAGTGAGAGAACTCGGTTGTGACTAGGTAATGCCTCCAGTGTTCTAGAGATCTAATAATGACATTTTTTGGGAGGTGGAGTATTTTCATCGAGTCTAATTTAGTTTTCACTGAAATAAGCAATTGAGTGGCCAACTTGACTTAGTACAACGCCAATGCCTATGCTGGAAGCGTCACACTCGACCTCAAATGGTTAGTTGAAATCATGTTGGGCAAGAACTGGGGCTTGAGTGACCTTTTCCATCAATATGTCGAAGTCGGCCTTAGCTGTGACTGTCCATTTGAATTATTTTCGTTTCAACAACAATGTGAGTGGGGCGGTGATAGTGTTGAAGTTGTGAAAAATTCTTCGTTAAAAGGAGGCTAGTCCCAATAATTGTCAAAGCTCGATGATAGATGGCGGTGTGGTTTAGTGTACAATTGCCTCAATCTTTGTTGGGTCCATTTGAATCCTCGCGCTAGACACTACTTGGGATGGGGCACTTGTTCAGATCGTAATACCTCGAACACCACCTGTAGGTGTTGCATATGGTCTTCTTCAGATTTATTATAAACCAAAATATCATCATAATAGATCACCTCGAATCTCCTAATATGGGCTCGAAAGACTTGATTCATTAGGCGCATGAAGGTGCTTAATGCGTTGGATAGGGTGAAAAGCATGACCGTCCATTCATAAAAGACCATCTCGTGTCTTGAAGGCGGTCTTCCATTCGGCTCCCGATCGCATTTTATTTGATGATATCCACTTCGTATGTCAATTTTTGAGAAGAAGTTGGTGCCATATAATTGATCTATAAGTTCGTTAAGCTGTGGTATGGGTAATTGATATTTGATTGTAATTTTGTTAATGACACAACTGTCAATGCACATCCGTCAGAAATCATCTTTCTCGGGTACTATGAGGGCAGGAATAGCACATGGATTGGTGCTTTCGCGTATTAATCCTCTTAACAAGGTCCTGCTCCTGACGTTGGAGTTCCTCATACAATGTGGGTTGCTATCAGTAGGCGGATCTATTTGGTGGGACCGTCCCTTGTATTAAGGTTGATGGTATGTTGGATGTCACGTAATGGAGATAATTCTTCTAGGAGATCGTGTGTCATGAGAACGTCTTGGAAATCATGTAGGTTTGGTTTAAGTTGTGTGGGTATCTTATTATCCTTGCTGGTACGTTCTAAGAGGAACAAAGCTAGTGCCATTGGCGCATCGCGAACTGATTGCAGGAAGGTGGCTTGTGAGATTAACACGTTTTGGATGTTGATCGTGGCCCTCACATCTTTTACATGCAATAACGTGGTGAATTTTCCATCCTTCTTGAATATGTATGTATTCTTGAAGCCATTGTGCTACATTTTTTGGTCGAATGACCATGGTCTCCCCAAAAGAACGTGACATGCGTCTAATAAGACAACATCACGCCAAACTTGCTCTTGTAGTTGATTGACGATCGAGAATTCGACTAAGCATTGTTGATCGACGCGAATCTTGTTCCCTTTTTTGAGCCAGATGAGAGAGTAGGATTGTGGGGATAACATATAGACTGGTGCTTTCGTATATTATTCTTCTCTTAACAAGGTCTTGCACATGACGTTGGAGTTCCTCATACACTGTGGGTTGCAATCAGTAGGTCGGTCTATTTGGTAGGACCGTCCCTTGTATGAGGTCGATGGTATGTTGGATGTCCTGTAATGAAGGTAATTCTTCTAAGAGATTGTCTGTCATGATGTCTTGGAAATCATGTAGGAGTGGCTTAAGTTGTGTGGGTATCTCAGAATGCTTGTCGGTACTTTCTAGGATGACTAGAGCTAGTGCCATCGGCGCATCACGAACTAATTGCATGAAGGTCTCTCGTGAGATTAACACATCTTTGATGTTGTTCGTGTCCCTCACATCTTTTACAAGCAATAATATGGTGCATTTTCCATCCTTCTTATACATGTAGGTATTCTTGAAGCAGTTGTGCTAAGATTTTCTGTCGAATGACCATAGTCTCCCCAAAAGAATGTGACATGCATCTAATGAAATTAAATCACACAAAACTTGCTATTTTAGTTGACTGATGAACGAGAATTCGACTAAACATTGTTGATCGACGCCAATCTCGTTCCCTTTTTTGAGACAGTTGAGAGAGTATGATTGCAAATGTTTTTGTGAGGCCAAACGAAAGATGATGTGTCGTAGCCATGAAGGGATTCTTTCGGGCTCTTATTGGAGAACCTGTCGAATGACCAATAGTTTGCCTTTGTCTTCGGAGAGGGGTAGTGTTTCTTCCGAACCATCCTCAGATTGGTCTTCTTCAACTTTCTCAGCTTCCTTGATGACACCTTCAGTAAACGAGACAATGCGGGTGGTGGGGCAATTGGCAACGATTTGACCATACTCGTGGCACCTAAAACATTTTCGTGCCAAAAATGTCCCAAAGGAACTTCCCTTTTCGGGTATCGTTTCGCTAGGGGTGGTTTTCGCGTTGCGTGATAGTGACTTGGCTAGCTTTCGACGTGGTATTGTTGGTGGATGTGGCTTGTGGTGATGGTTTGAGCGTTGATTGCTGTCATAATGAGTTTTAAAATTTGGTTTGCTTCTGTTGTTCTACTTTTAATGCGAGGGTTTGGACATTGTTTAGCGTCCTGTATGGCTCGAGGTGTACAACGTTGCTGATGACAACTTTTAAACCTCCAAGATAGCGGGCGATTGTGTGCTCCTCTTGCTTAACCAGGTTGCACTTTATCTGTAGATGATCAAATTGCGTTGTGATTTCTCCATTGATGTATCACGCTGCTTGCAGGTTGTGGAACTAGAGAAACATTCTGGAAATAGTGGGGTGACATGTATGTTTTTTGAATTGACTTCTTCATTTTTGTCCACTTAGTGATCTTGTCATCGATGTTGTGTTGTTGTCGTTGCAAGCTGTCCCACTAACAACGCACTTTTCTTTAATTTGATAGCGGCAAACTTAAACCCATTTTTTTTCGGGTATCTTCTTGTAATCAAAGATGCATTCAATAGCTTACAGCCAGTCGATGAAGTCATCAGGGTCCATGCATTCGTCAAATTCTAGTAGGTCTGTTTTGATGTTGAAATCCCGATGGGTGCCAAACGTGGGCTTCCCTAGTGGTCTCTTGTGATAGTGAATGCCAACATGGTGTGGATGATATTCGTCATCGCAGTTTTCATCACCGTGAAACTGATTTAGGTAATCGTCGCATTCTCTTCTTCGACTCTCGATGTCACGGTCGAGAGTAACGTCACCTTGAGTCTCGTCGCCCGTTTCGGCCAATCTTTGTTGTTAGTGACGAACCTCTTGTTCTATTTCTTCACATATCGACATGGCAGCGTGAACGGAAGGGTTTTGGGAACGAGATTAGAGATGGAAGGAGAAGACAATAAGAGAAAGAAATAAGGGAAGACGAAAGGAAGAAGATTTTTTTTTTTTTTTGGGTAGATTGGGTCGGGGCGGATGTTAGGGCTGGGCTCGCTCCGATAGCAAATGATTCCAGAGTTAACACAAATCATGACTCAAATGACATAATTTTATTGTTGATTTTGAAGAAATTACAACATGGGCTCTTAAAAGAAAAATAACACAAATATGTGAGCGATAATATAAGAAGTAACTACTCAACAAGTAATAAATTAAATACTATAAAAGGGTAGGAACAGTCTTGGACAGCATTGGAGTGTGATTGAAAGGTCACTGCGGAGGCTATGGAAGAGTCAACAGTGGTTGGCCGATTGTCGGGTAATAAATTAAGAATGACTGCTGCGAGGTGCTGGAAGGTGCTACGACCTCTAGTTAGAGAGGTGTAGGAGCAGGGTGCAGTGTCAGGAATGACCTTAGCACCTTGTGGCTTGCTCGAGGAGGCGTAGGATGGAGGGGCTGCGATTGGAGTACGACTGGGGAGACGGAGGATGCTTGCGTGTGTTGGAGAAAGTGTAGGAAGGAATGGTAGTTTGGTAGAGTGGAGTAATGACCACTACAAGTGAGTTACAACCGGAGCACTGGTTACCGTAGGATACAACCATCAGAAAGGAAATGCCAAGAGGCAAACCTGAAATAAAAAATCAAAACAAGCTCCTTAGGACCTAAGCAAAACTTGCATAAATAAGGGGAATACGAGCAGCTAACAATGGTAAGATCTGAGAACGGAATGACAGAAAATGATAGGGATTGAAGAGGGGCGATGAGGAATGGCGGAAAATGATAGGGATTGAAGAGGGGCGATGGGGGCAAGATTGCAACGGTTAAGAGGCGGGCGAAAGAATTGTGCACATGAATGAATTGATCTCCGGAGAAAAAGGCCAAAGGGAATATCATATGCCTTAAGTAGAAATGGATTGGTCCCGATCTTGCAGGAAGGTTGGACATGTTCATTTGTCACATCTTTTATACTCTTTTTATAGTGGTGAATGATGACACCATGCTTTTGGTAGCATGATTGCTTTTAAGTTTCAATATTATAGGGGATTATGACTTAGTTTTACGCTGTAGTAAGATTGGAAGCAGAGGAGCACTAGTGGAGATATGTCTTAGGGCATGTTCAGAGGAGCAGTTTCAAAGCTGTTGCAGAAGAAATTGTTTTTCAAAAAACTGCGGTAACTATTATAAATTCATTTTATTTTATGAAAATCAAAACATAGTTTTTTTACAGTCATCACACATGAAGAACTCAGGTTGAAAAAAAAAAATAGTTATTTTATCAGAGAGATTTCAAAAAAAGCAGCAAGAAAGCAGTTTTCCGGACAGACCTGGGTAACGGTCTAAAAAGCAAAGCAGATAGAAAATTGTACCTGAGAAGACCTTTTATCCATGGATGTCACCACGATGCGTCATTCTTAATTCTTTCTGTAGAACACTATCATATCTTTTGTATTTTTATTTTGCAATGTTTTGAGCTGAAACACCAAATTGTTTATTCATTTTTTTTTTGTTTTTTCCCCTAAAAACTCTTCTTTCACATCTTTATTTTTGTTGGGAAATTCCTTCTATACAATTTAATGATAAAGCTTTTAATTGAATCCTGTGTAACCTATTTCAGCACTCTAGCGAGGAGCAGAGACAAAACGGGTCTTGAAATTATTGGTGTCGTCCTGAACAAGGTATATAATGGACAGTTATTTTATGTGTTTTTTTTTTTTTTTTTTTTTTTTTTTGGGTAATGCGTGCATTCTTAAATTCTATGCATTTACATATCCAACACCTAAGCTTTGCAATTTACCTTTATATACAGTGAAATACACTTTTCCATTCACATATAAGATGGCTTGTATGTAAAATTGAAGTTTAGGTGTTAGATATGTAAACTCTTAGGAAATGAGTGTCATGAATGTAAATCCTTTTTTTTTTTTAAATTATTTTTGGATGATTACCCAAGCTGTTTGTCTTTTGCAGGAAGACACAGAAGCAGGTGGTGAAATAGCTGAAAGCAGCGACACAGGTTACTTGTGTGGTTCGCCCCCTGCACGCACCCATAACCCTGTAATACATGATGCACAGTTTACCAAACACATGAATCCCATAGCTTCTTGCCCCCCGGTAACAACTAACTCTTCTCCAAGAGCTGAAAGGGGTTCGCCAAAATGCAACCCCACCATCAGCGGGAGCCCAAAAATTCGAGTTGAAGGTTTTAATTGCGGGAAATCTGATCCCCTATGCGTGGTTCCGACTCTCGCCTGACCCACCTGACCTTAGATTCTTAACCCCCTTCTCTGTACAGAGTTTTTCTCTATTTAGCTGAGAATATTAAATTCCCAGCAAATGCTTTTGAAGACATTTTTCAAGCTGTTGATCATATATATCTCTCTCTTTTGTTTCATGGAAGAGCTCGGTGATGTCTGTAGATATAGCTCATTTTAGTTTACTTAGGATGTCCGTCCCAATGAGTCGTTTTACTGTTTGTTTCGAGGCTTTATTAGTTTGGATTCCGGATTTGGTTGATCTAATGTAGACATCATCCATTTCGTGCATGTATATTGGGTATGTATATACTCAGTTCTTTTGTTCCTTTAAGAAAAAGTCTTATTGCTGCGAATCATAAATGTTGTGCGTCAGTGATTTGATCTATTTTTGTGCTCCCGATGTCTCAAGCATTAGTTTATCTTAATTTATCTTGCATTTGAGTAAATATGTACTTCCAAAAAACCTTGGAAAAAGAAAAAATCATGCGACCAAGCTTAAACAAAACAATTTGTTATGTAATTGTTGGTACAGTGGTGTATTCTTTTTTTTTTTTTTTTTTTTTTTTTTTTTAATAAGGAAAGATGAAGTTATAAAATTAATAATTATAAATATAGAATAGTAGTTCAACTTTCATAGTTGTATTTGGGCTATAATGATTATAGTTTTTGGTATTAATGATGATTGCGAGCCCTGAAGGCTGTAGTAGATTGTTATGAAGGCGATGGCTGAATAAAAGTGTTTTACACGTTGGCTGTATTAGCATTTGTTTGACACGGAGATTGTAGTTGAAAATTAAAGTAGTTGTTGGCTATATAAGGTCATGCTTGGTAGCTTCATAAGTGTTAGTTGATTAGAAGTACTTTAGTGGGAGGTAGAACTGACAGTAGTAATCACATATGACTTAGTTAGAAGTTATAATAGTAAATAACAACAAAGGTATGATGGGTTGCTACAAGAGTCTCAGTTGATTACAAAATACTATGATGATAATTGTTAGTCATGTAGATTGTAAAGGAGAGTTGCAATTGTTATTAGTTACATGGTTGTAGTGGGGAGTTGGAGTTGCAATTAGCGACATAGATCATAGTGGAGAATTAAAATAACAATGAGTTACGGGAGCAGGAAGCTACTTAATAAAGAAATTGTGTGTGTGTGTGTGTGTGTGTGATCATAGTGGAGAATTAAAATAACAATGAGTTACGGGTGCTCAGTCATGTAGGTCGCAGCAGGAAGGTACTTGAAATAAAGAAATTATGTGCGTGTGTGTGTGTGGCAGGAAGCTACTTGAAATAAAGAAATTATGTGTGTGTGTATAAAGAAATTATGTGTGTGTGTGTGTGTGTGTGTGTGTGTGTGTGTGTAAGCTACTTGAAATAAAGAAATTATGTGTGTGTGTGTGTGTGTGTGTTGTGTGTGTGTGTGTGTGTGTGTGTGTGTGTGTGTGTAAGCTACTTGAAATAAAGAAATTATGTGTGTGTGTGTGTGTGTGTGTGTGTGTGTGTGTGTCACGTCAAAGTAGGAAACAACACTTGTTAGCCATATAGTTCGTAGTTGGGAGCTGCAATAGTACTGAGCGAGATAGATCATAGTTAGTCATGTAAGTCGTAGTGAGAAGCTACAATAGTTACATATCACATAAGTTGTTGTGTGCTACTGCAAGAGTGTCGGTTAACCACATAGAATGTAGTAAATTATTATGCTGATAACAATTGGCCATGTAAACTATAGTGGAGAGTTGCAGTAACAATCAGCCATATAGATCGTAGTGGGGAGCTGCAATAACGTTCATTACTCACACAAGTCATAGTTGGTGCTAACCATTTGGTGTTTATAGCCCTTTTTTGTGGTTTTCATTATAAAAAAAGCACTTATCGATATATGACGTAAGGAGGAGACTTTAGGAGGTTGGATACAACCAGAACATTTTGAGTACAACAATTATAAGTAATTGTGTTGGGAGTTATTATTTGATCTCAGATTAGACATTATTCTTTTGATTTGGCATTATTCATTGCCCGATATTTGAGATACATCGTATCAAGTGTACGTTGGTATAACATATTAAAGGACGGTAGTTACGCCATTTTTGAGGTAGTTCATTATGTCGCATTCGAGGTACTTAATAACACATTTTTGGTATATTGTATACCATATTGGGGTACTTCATTTATACATGTTTGCCTAGAAGGGGGGTCAACAGTGATCCACAACTACGAAGGTTGAGAGTTATTTCAAATTTCAATTCATAACAAAATTAAAAAAGAGTTTTATTCTTCTTTCTCCCTCTCCCTCCAAGTGGAGAGATAATGTTTATTATAGAGCCTCGAGGAGGGAAATTTTCATTATTTGGCAGACAATCACTAGTTCGAACGATCCATATTAATTCCTTTTGATCACAAGATATTTTTTTAATAGTTGATGGCCTTGATGACCTTGGAATCAAAATGATTTTAAGCTCGTTGGTTCATGTTGTCGAGACGCTCAATCTAACTACAGGTACATCAAATTTGGAGCTTACTCCATCGTCAATTATCCACCCAAAGTTTTCAAAAATGATTTAAAAACTTGATCCGTGCTTAATTTGACTCAGATCAGATCAATTTTGGTATCACTGAGTCACCTCATTGAACCCGATTGTTTGGTTACAAATTTTTGGGACGAGAGTCCAAGATGAATTTTAAGTTTTTTTATTAAAATATATACATGTGAAAAATATATTGAAATTCGTGCAAAATGTAAAATTTGTTGCAGACGCGCCGAGTTCATGCAAATATTGAATCATGAACGAAAACTGATGGACTTGTAACATTCTTAAATCCCAAAAATGAAGGAAAAAATTTATGTACCTTTGACATTGATTTACTTTTAAAATTTTTGTTATTTTATAATATTAATTGCAGAGTTTCGTGTTGCTTGTTCGTCTTTTTTGTGGGTCCCATCCTTCATAGAGTGAAATGGTGGCGTTGAAAACGACGCTTCATGAACCCGTGTCTCTTTCTGGTTGGATGGATCTGTGTTTCTTCCCCCACCCCGCAGATGGCTCTTTCCCGCGCACAAATTGTTCGAGACGTAAAAAAAAAAAAAAAAAAAAAAAAAAAAAAAGGGGGGGAAAAAAGGGGAGGAAAACAGGAGAGAGCGGAAAGCTGCGAAGGAGTTTTTTTTTTTTCTTGTTTTTACCATCTGTAACAACTCTGTTCATCGGCTTGCAAAAGCCCTAATCTTGCTTAATTATTCGTCGCCCCGCGACACAATTAGCCGGCCGATCTAGTGGTCTGATCGTACGATGTTTGATTTTGGCCGATCTGGAAGAAAGAGCGCGATTCATGATCTGACACTGTGATTCATCACTTTGTTCTTTGGTGATTCGGTTCTTTCTTTCTTGGATCTGATGCCTTGAGCTGTGCTTAGGTGGTTATGGTAGGTCTTTTAGGGTGTTGCTGCGAGAAAGCTCCTCTGCAATGAGTCCGGGTGCGGCGGGTGCGGAGGAGGGCGAGAATCCTGGGGCTCTTCAGATGGATGATGACGGTGCGATGGAAGCTCGATTCGCTAACCTTTGCAAGGTTGTTTTGTTTACCCTGTTTATTTGTGCGCGGTCTGTGTGTGTTAGATGCGTTTTTCTTTGGTTTGACCTGAGTTGAGGCTTGCTTTAGCAGAGCGTAGCGGGGATTGATGAGGGCACCGCGGAGGAGGCGCTCGCTCTTTTTGGGGAAAGCAAGGAAATCCTGTTGGGAATCATGTCGTCGGTTGGAAGCGGAACGGTGAATTCTTCATCTAGCTTTCTGTATTGTTTAGTTCGTAGAACTTCGTTTGTAAATGTACTTCCTTTTGCAGCCGGACGTGGTTGAGAGGTTTTGGTCTGCTTTCCTTCTCTATTGCGTCGTTAGGCTTTGCACTGGGAAGGAGACACATGAGAGCAGTGATGGAAGAGTGAAGCTATCCCAGATTCTGGAGGCGGCTAAGCTGAAGTAGGATTTTTTTGCTCTTTTAACTGAAAAACATGATTTTGCCTGTTCCGTGCCATTAAAAATCTCAAATTGACGGTTTGTTTCTATTTTGCCTTACAGTGCTCTGGTTTTTTTCAAAGAAGTATCTCATTTTGCTCTTAAGGCTGATAATGTTTTATCCATTCATTATGGCCCGGATTGGGAAAAAAGGATTGACGTAAGGCAGAAGTTTGTTTGAATCCTATTTGTCTTTTTTTTTACTTTTCCACTTGGCTTTGTATCTAGAAATGATTAATTAACTTGCACTTTGCTATTGTTTAGTTGAAGGAGCTGCATGCCAATGCTGATCAACTCTGTTGGCTCAGCAGGTAAATTTTATTGACCAGGCTTTCATGCGTTTCAAGGTTTGTTTGTTTGTTTGTTTTTGAATTTTGATACATCAGCTCTATGATATAATATGTTCTTGCGGTTGTTAAGTGCTCATGAGAAAACTGCGAATTTATATTTTTGTTCTTGTTTGCTTTCAAGTTGTTGCTCGGTTTGATTGGAGTGGAGCTTGGTTTTTAAATGGAGTTGCACTTATGGTTCGGTGAAATTGAGCTTCTTAAGATTCTTGGTTTATAGTGGGATGGGAGACTTACCGCCCCTCTTGTAAAGAGGGAAAGTTGTTTTGGCAACAAAGAAAATCTTATAGGCTTTTAGATAGGTATTAGAATCAAATGGTGGGAGTGTGATTAGTTGTGAGAGTTTAAAAGGAGATTTTAATGAGAATTGCTCTTCTCAGATAATGAGAGTTTGATTAGAGCCGTTATTTTTCTTTAATTCCTATCAGAAAGTTTGGATATTGTAGCCTCTTATTTTTTTATGATGACAGCTTAAATCTATTCTAATCTATTTTTAATTAGGAGAATTTGTCCAAGAAATCTTATCCTAGCAGTAATATAAATATCATATTAATTAATAGCAAAAATCTCATAATTAATAATTTGTAATAAACCTTGTATGAATGTTCAACATGTTTGCAGAGGGGTTCATATGATCTTGTATAAATAATCAACATTTGTTTCAAATTTGAAATTTAGGAATAACTTATCTTACCTTGTGCCATGGCAATCATGGATTTCTTCTCATCTTAATTGTCATTTTCATTTTTTATTTATTTATCTATGTAATATGGGCATCTGGTTTGTTCATATTTAATTTTTTTAAGCTTCAAATTATTTAGTTTTATGTATCTTAGCATTGATCATGGGTGTGAGATGGTTTGTGTACATCAGCTTTTCTTTGGCAGGAGAGCTTTGACGCACATTTTTCTTATACGTGGCCATTGTCTTGGAGCCATCACATGTTGTAATTCTACCATGTGCTGTGTTTTGGGTGTTGAACGAGTCATGTTTGGCTTGCCATTATTTGTCTTCGGCTATATTTTCTCTTTATTTAAGCAAATGAGTCCCTAATTGCAGGGAAAAGCTTCATTCAAAGCAATCTTCTCGTTAACTTCATATAAATTTTATTTGAAACTTCTGAGGGAATGAAATTCTAATTCATTCTCCAACACAATCGTAAAGGAAAAAAAAATTATAAGGACGAAAGACTGTAATAAGTATAAAAGAAGGGAAATTTTGATAGTTCGGTTGTGAAAACGGTCTTGACGGTTTCTTCATTAAGAGAAGGACGTCTCCACTCAAAACAAAGAAATGACAATGACAGGAGAAAGAGCGAGAGGCAGAGAAGTAGGAAGAAAGAGGAGGAAGGGAGAACGATACCACTTGCGGGAAACTTTGACGTGTGCATTGCAGACATTGTGCTAGGAGACAACATCGACAACAACATGCTGTGTGTGAGAGAGAAGACAGAGGGAACCTTGCATGCGATAAGAGCTGCAGCTTCGAGCATGAGGAGACAAAGCATCACGGGCTTGCGTGCGAGGAAGAAGCTTTATGTGGGAGAAGAGTCACACACAAGTGTCAAAATTGAAGTCGTGCCTGCATCTTCGTGTGGGTGCAGGTGGTTTAATGCAAAGAAGAAGAAATGAGGAAGTGGGACAAGTGGTTCCTAGCATTCTGGATGGAGTGGTTGCGTGCGGCTTTTGATGGGTGGCAGTCAATTGAGTCATCAGTAAAGATGGTAGGGTTTGTGTCTTTATGAATATAAATGGTTTTTTAAAGTGTTATGAATTAATATTAGTGATTATAATTGGACAGACAACTACATTAAATGATTGGGAGAGAATTATATATGTGATCTTGCAATATAAGGAGAGATAAAGTGAGGCAAGTTTATGGCTAATTTTCAATTTAGGGTTTTTAAATATTTAATTTAAATGTATTACTTATTATTTTTAAAATTAGTGTATAAGTATAGCATTATTCTGATTGAAAAACCAGAAAAATTGACAACATTAATCAGATTATTTCCTATTTATATTAGAGGTATATGCTTTAATTTGAAATTGTTTAATGTCAGCGATAAGTTTTGTTGGATAATATAAAATTTGGATATTTTAAAATTATTGAATTGGAATGTTTAAAGGAGTGATTACAATTATGGGAAGAAGAAAAGAAAACAAAGATATGTATTAATTTTTAGGAATTGTAAATTTAAGTGAATTTTTACTATATTAAATGATATTGTTTAGGAGTAACATATTTAATAAATTTTAAGACGATCTATTATTAAATACTGATTACTCGTAGTTAATGTTCTTAATTTTTTTCTTGCTGTACGTATATTCTGCCTAAAGGAGTTTTTATTTTGTTTTTTGTCAAAGAAATATTGTCGATCACTAAGGCTTTGCTTGTAACTTCAACATGGAAGTACAAATCATCACGGAGATTTTATCAACCAAAGGCTAAAGCACAATAATTTAGTTTTTTATTGCTTCATGAATACTAAACTGCATCAGCCCCGCCACAGAAGGAACAATGTTTGTAACGGCGTCAGTTAAAGATAACTTCATTTCATTTTTAATTAAAGAAATAAATATGCAGTAATGAACTCTCAAATACTAATTTGGGTTTCATAATTCAAACTTGTATTTTCATTTCAGACTGTTTTAAGGACCATGGTTACAATCATATGCTCAACAGGTTCTACAAGAAAGCTTATCACCAGCTTTTCAAGGTGAGTGCCAGTTGTAGTGGGAGAAAACTTCTAGTTTCCAGTCATGAAGATTATGTCTCAGATTACCATTGTTTTGGGTGGCTGCTATTTTTGGAGTTGCGTGCTCATTTATTCAGCCACTTTAAAGATTTGGTTACATATACTAATGCATTGGTTTCAATATTGGTAAGTTCTTTTTTTCACACATGGTGACTTTGCCAGGAGTAAAAAGTGCAGTGCCTCACTGTGTAGACGTCTAATTAAATTTTTTATGGTATAAGTGGCAAAATAGTCCCTTGGTTCATTGCTTAGTCATTTTTGTCCCAAATTCTATAAAAGTGCCAATTTACCACCAGACTCTTCTAATATTGGTTGAGATAGTCTCAACGGATGAGTAATTTTATCCTTAATTAAAGAGTCTGGAGACTAATTTGACGCTTTTATAGACTCCGGAACTAAATGGCCTTATAGATATAGTTGGGGGACTATTTTGACAGTTTGCTCAAATTTTTATTGGTTATTTGATATGCTTTTGTGCTTGTGCAGGCCATTCTTATTCTCCATGTTCCCACAAGCTCGAGGAACTTTGTCATTTCGGATTCTCCTTTCTTCAGTAAGTTTTCTAGATTTCATGTTCTATGGTTTGTAAAATATTTGTTACATTTTGTTTACTAATGTTTAGTGTGGAATTTATCTTACAGCTAAGAAGTCTGGCAAAGGTGTGGATCTTCTTGCATCTTTGAGCCAGAGCTATGACGCTTCTGAAGTGGAGTTGTGGAGAATGACGGAGAAGGTTAATAAATTAGTTGTTGATGTTTTGAAGAAGAAACCATGCCATGCTTCAGAATGTAAAGCTGAAAGTTTATATAACATAAACACAGGTCTTCATGTTCCTTTTATTGTGTTTGCCTATGATATGTCAATTAAAAATATTCTTAGCTTCCGTTTCTGATACTCATTTTTGCACAATAACAGATGAGCTGATATATTTTGAGGATTTGTTAGACGAGAAGTCTCTTCGGAGTAATTTATTTATTCTGAATATGGATTATGATGACATTATAAAAAGTAAAGTTGAACTTGACGAGCGCATATTTCTCAATATTGAGGATAGGTTAGATGTTAATGGAAGCTTAAACTTTTCTGGGGATGCAATTAGTGTGTCTCATGGAAGGGTATGGTGGCATATAGATGTTTCATACTATTGAATTGTCATTGTTATCTTTCATCTAAAATCATGGCAAATTTACATATGTTGCACACAATCCTTATGCATTTACATATCCCACACCTAAATTTTCATATTTACATATATAATAATTTGGTGCTTTAAACTCATGCATGAAAATGGGTATTTCACTTTTAGAAAATTCTAATTGTGCTATTTTTTATGTTATATTAAAGATTTGACTGCAATGTGTGTAAATATGAAAGTGTAGGTATGAGATATATAAATACATAAGAATTGTGTGACATGTATGTAAATGTAAATGCCCCTAAATGTATTTGTTTCACTTTTTATTTATGCTTTTAGGACAACGTTGCCTTAGTTAGCACTCCGGCGAAGTCAATTATAAACCGTGTTGCCTCTCATCCCGGCGCATCACCTCCCAATGGGAATTTTGTGGGCAACTCTAGAATGGCTCAGTGGACACCAGTGAGCTCCACCATGACCACCGCAAAATGGCTTCGTGAAGTTGTTTCTCCACTGTCTTCTAGACCTTCATCCGGGCTTCACCATTTCCTCACGTTCTGTGACACGGATTTAAAAAGTCCTGTTATCCATAGAGCCAACGTCATATTGGAGGCCATTTTCCCAACTCAATATGGAGAGCGGTGCATTCATGGAAGTCTTCAAGGAGCAAATATTATGGATAGTGTGTGGGCAGAACAGCGGAAGTTAGAGTCTCTAAAGTTGTATTATAGAGTATTAGAAGCAATATGTAAAGCAGAATCACAGAGACTAAGTGACAATAATCTTACTTCATTATTATCCAGCGAGCGATTTCATCGATGCATGCTTGCTTGTGCTGCTGAGCTTGTTTTGGCTACCCATAAGACTGTCACCATGATGTTTCCTGCTGTGTTGGAGAGAACTGGAATTACGGCTTTTGATTTGAGCAAAGTAATTGAGAGTTTTGTGAGGCATGAGGAAACTCTTCCAAGAGAGTTAAAGAGGCACTTGAATTCGTTGGAAGAACGACTTTTAGAGAGCTTGTCATGGGAAAAAGGTTCTTCTCTTTATAATTCCTTGATTGTAGCGAAGCCAGCTTTGGCTACTGATATAAATCGGTTGGGCCTATTAGCAGATCCCATGCCATCACTTGATTCAATTGCTCTGCATAAAAATATTGCTGCCATAGGAACCCAACCTTCTACTTCCCAAAAGCATGCATCATCATCAGGTAAATTTGATGATATGAGGATTCTTGAAGTTTCTGTTAGATGAATTTATTTTTTGTGGCCCACAAGCCTTGAATTTTGAGAGCTCTTTATTTCTGTCTTGTTATAGATTTGTGTTTCTAAATATAAATCTATAATATAATTTATGGTGCCTTTTTTCTCATGATTGGCAGAGCCAGAATCTTGTCATTAGACTTATTTCTTTATTTGGGTTGGCTTTATGAATCTTTTTTATTTTATTGCTTTTAGGTTTTTTTTTTTAAGGTTTGATTTATTTTGCTCTTTTTTTGCATGTCATCTACCTGAAGCTACCATGAATTACATTCTTTTCTTTGCAATTTTATTTATTCTATTAGTTTTACTATTGTTTATTCTCTATTACATTATTTTCAATGGATTGCATTCCAGCTATCCCTCTTATATATTATGTTTATTTCTCAATTTATTTTTCTTAATTTTATCATCATCAATGTCAATATCTTATTTATTTATTCCGCGCTCAGTTTATTGATGTTTTCTTTATAACTTTTCACTTGCATCAACATTGAAATCTGATCATAGTTTTGTAAAGTTTACCATGGTATTCTCTTTCTTCATTTTAATCATGTTGCCCTGACACATTAAATTCAAACTAACTGAACTTATCCTCACAATTAGCTATTGTTTTTTAATTATTATTATTTTTACTATGATGAAGAGTAATTTGTCGGTTGCAATTATAATTGCATGAAGAAGTGTCGGTAGGCCTTTTGAGTTCATAAAAATATGTAGGAGTATCGAACTTTCTCGCGACATTGTGAATTTGTGATATTATGCTGTGTTGTTGTTGGATCCATGTTGTTGAAGGGAAATTTGAAACTTGTATGGAATGCTAAAATACTTCGGCTAAATATGGGATGTCCTTTAATTTACTTCTTGTCAGTGTAATTTATTTTTCTTTCTGGAGATCGGCTACATACGCATGGTTGGATGAGTAAACTGCCCCCAGACGATCAACATACTCATATTTTATTTAAATTACTCCTTAGATTCAGCTGATTATTTTCATGTGGGTTTTTGTTTATAGGCCGAAATGGAGAGTCAAGATCTCCAAAGAGATTGTGCAGTGAAAACAGAGGTGTAGTGCTGGATCCTAATATCTTAAAATCACCTGTGAGGGAAAACCAGATAGCCTTCAATAGTCCCAAATCCAAATTACCATCTCTTCAGTCTGCATTTGCAAGGTTTAGTCTTCCCGTTTCTCTTTGTTTGAAGCAGTTGTCTGTGGAGCTCTTTGCATGCTCACATTTTTCGTATTTTTTCAGCCCTGCATGTCCAAATCCATCAACCGGTGGTGAACCTTGTGCTGAGGCTGGGATCAGCACTTTCTTTAGCAAGGTATTACCCAATAATAGATTTGAATTTTTCTATATTTGGCAAGTTTACATAGCATGCAATTCTTATATATTTATATATCTGACAAATAAACTTTCATATTTACATATATATAACTTTGGCGCTTAAAACCTATGAATGAAACTATGTTTCAATTTTTAAAAGCTGTAATAGTGCTATTTTTTATGTGATATTGAAGATTTAAGTGCTATGTGTGTAAATATGAAAGTTTTGATAAGAGATTTGTAAGTACATAAGAATTGTGTGACGTATATGCAAATGTCCTTTCTATTTTTTTCGTTCCTTTCATAAATTTTACTTTTCATGGTGCTATTTAGATTTTAAAATTGGCTGCTATCAGAATCAAAAGTCTGTGCGAAAGGCTTGGAGTGCCTCAGCATTTTTTAGAGCATGTCTACTTTCTCATCCAACAAATTCTTAGTCAACGGACAGCTCTCTTTTTCAACAGACATATTGACCAACTTATTTTGTGTAGCATATATGGAGTTAATAAGGTGAGTTTATATCATTAATAAATTGAACAACGGCTGAGGTCCTTTAGTCTAATTTTTCTCTAAGCTGAGATTTATTTTTTGAACAGATCTTGAATTTAGATTTGACATTTAAGGCAATCATTTATAACTACAGAAAGCAGCCACAGAGTAGAACTCAAGTTTTCAGGAGTGTTTATGTTAATTGGTCATCAATCCAGAATACGGTAACAGCACATGGGGACTTCCCCATTCAAAAACCTCTTTTTTTTTGAAAGATTTACTGTTATATCATTCAATTCCAATGTATTTAAATATCTGGCACCTGTGCTTCCATTTTTACATACATGCAACCTTATCTATGCGTGAACGGTGTATTTCACTTATAAAACTTAAACTGGTGGTATTTTTCATGTGATTTGAAAATTTTGGGTGGTATTATAAATGTAAAAAAGCAAATTTTAGGTGTTAGATATCTAAATACATAGGAATTGGTTGCTATGTATGTAAATTCACCCTTTTTTGTTTTAGCTTATTGCTTGACGTTTTCTGCAAACAGAAAAAGGGGCATGAGCATATTGATATCATTACCTTCTACAATGAGGTATTTATTCCATCTGTCAAGCCCTTATTGGTGGAGCTTGGTTCTTCCAAAGTTGAAAACAGTAATAGCTTGGCTCAAGATAAGTCTAATAATCCCATTGGTATGTCATGTTTTTGCTTCTGCTGTGTATTCCATGAGTGTAGAAGCTCATGAAATTAATTTTCGTCATTTTCAGGCCATATTCCATCTTCGCCCCGGTTGGCTAATTTCCCAAATCTTCCAGACATGTCGCCGAAGAAAGTATCTGCTTCTCATAATGTTTATGTTTCGCCTTTGCGGCAGTCTAAGGTTCATTGCCTTTTCTCAGTATATGTTTCATTTAAATTGAATTTAAAATTTTCATTTTATGCAATTTTTTTGAATTTTGCCCTTTTTTGTTTTACCGTGAGGCTAAATTTGATAGGGGTATTTCCATACATAACACACAATTCTTAAATATTTACATATCTTGCACCTAAAAATTTATTTTTTACATTTATATCGCCTTAATCTTTCATATCACCACAGAAATACCACCATTTTAACGTTAAAGAAAATGAAATACACCTTCTCATGCATATGTAAGGTGGTTTTGATATATAAATACATTGGAATTGAGTGATATAAATTTTCCAATTTGATATTGCAATAGTTTAATAGAATTTACGATCAGGTAATAAGCAAGATTGCTAGATTTATTTCCCTTTTTCTGTTGTGACAACGTCAATTTAGCTGCAGTCTTTTGACAATGAAATTTCAAAGCTAGGATGTAATTGTTGTCATTGTTGATTGATGTGAGTGCGTAAATTTACTGTCATGTAGGTGCCAGTTTGCTTAAGTTGCTAAAAACCTTCAAATTTGTTATGATACTTCTATTTTATTCTGTTCACAATAATTTAGTAGCCCCCATCTGCTGATCCAGATGGACGCTTTACTGGCGCCGAGTTCCAAGAGTTATTACGCCTGTGTTGGCGAGAGCACTCATGCTTTCCAGAGCCCATCCAAAGACCTCATGGTCATTAACAGCCGCCTAAACTGGTGCATATATTAACTGATCTGTCTTTTCAATTTTAATATTTTGTTCTCTTTTCTCTCATCTTCTCCTTCCTAACATTATCTGCTGTTCACCGGTATCTCAGCAGCGGCGGCGGCGGCGGCCGGAGAGTTGGAGGCCGCCTCAACTTTGATCTAGTGAGCGACTCAATTGTTGCAGGCAGCCTTGGACCTCAAAATGGAAGCTCAGGCTCCTCAGCTGCTGTAGAAGTCACCGTGAAAAGTGAACAACCTGATCTGTGATATTCGGTTGGTATTTATAAAGTCCTGTTTTTTCTTATCTTAAATAAAAAAGTTTCCTTTTTTTTTCAGGAAGATTTACATGCATACCCCCTCATTTTCTCTGTGTTTGCATGTCTAACAACTGATCTTCAAATTTTATATGTATATCACCTTAACTGATGCATGAAAAGTTCCTTTTTTTTTACTTTTTCATTGTTAAAATGGCGGCATTTTTGATGGTGATGTGAATGATTTAGGTGGTATAATGTAAAAGAAGTAAAATTTAGGTGTTAGATGTGTAAATACATGGGAAATTATGTGGTATGCTTCGTAAATACCTCTTTATTTTATTTTTTTATGGAATGGGAAATCATGCGCGCGCAGCATTGTCTGTGCATAAATAGTTCGGCTGCCCCGTGAATCCCTTTTTATATTATGTATTAGTATAGTGTACATCTCTGCTGAGAGAGATGAAAGGCTGCGAATGAAAAGCATGTGTTATGTATTGGTGTGCTTGCAGGGGCCTAATTTGTAATTATGCGAATATATGTGTAATTATGCATTTTCTTGAGGTGCTATTGTGACAGCTACTTTTGTTTGTATTTGAGGCCTTGTATAGTTTTATTATTATAAAATACGAACTCTCATTAGTGGTGGCCATGAGATATGATAGAAAAAGTTTAGAGGTTTAGAGGTAAACTCTGGGTTGAATGAATATTGTAATAAATATTTAAGTTGTTTTGATTTTTTAAAATAATATAATAATGTTGTAATAATGATATATTTTTTATTTAATATATATTTAGTTGAAAAATTTTATCTTTATTATTTTAAATTAAAATTGTTGAATTAGAATTTAATTATTTCTTTTTAATTTAAATATTTTAGTTTGTCATCCAATTACGTCTAGAAATTATGATTAATATTAAGATCTTGTCGTGTATCTCGTCGTAAGCATCTTCTTGGTGGTTTATGTACAAATGGGCAAACCTTTATGTTTTTAGGGATATCTTTGTTGTTGCGAGATCTAAATATACCAGTTGATGTGGTATATTTATAAATCAAACAGCAGAACGATCGACGGAGTGAAAAATAGAACAAGAAAAATTACACTATAAAAGAACACAGGTTTATGTGGTTCAGTAAATTGCCTACTTTTATGAAGTTGCAGAGGATTTTACTAGAAGTGAAAAATAGAACAAGAAAAATTATACCAGAAAAGAACACATAGATCTACGTGGTTCAGTAAATTGCCAACGTCTACGGAGTTGTAAAGGATTTTATTACTTGAGGAATTTATATTAATCGATCACCTCGACTTACAAGAGGAATCTCTCGCTCTCACTTTGTTGCTCTCCCTTTATTCTCTCTCCACACCGAGATACATTGAAGACGATAAACTTACAAAAGAAATAAATCCAATTTCTCTTCAGTTATAAGCCACCAAGAAGAAGTCAAGTGAGAACAATCTTCTTCTTCTTCTTTCTTCTTCCTTCACCGTAAGGAACTACTCCTCCTTGCACTTCTCTTTCCTTCTATTCCGAGCAAACCTTCATTTATCTTGAGGAAACCGAAGAAGAACACCAACTGTTGCTTGTCCTAAAACTGAAGGAGAGCCGCTGCGATGCCTTTTATCGCGAACAGGAAGGGAGGTTGGCTACGTTTCGCGAATATCGTGACCTCTCGCGACAGTGGAGCGCGAACAGGTGAGCGGGGGGAAGCGAAGCTTCGCTTCGCAGCAGACGCTGGCGCCGATTCGCGAAACGGGAGGAGTGGGAGCGGGATTCGCGAGACATAGCGATCGGGAGGCGGGAGCGGGAATCCGAACTAGTCTGCACACTAACAATCTAACACTTCAATTTCTATTCCATATAATTATAAAGATTTTATTTCTTCTACCAAATAATTATATCCTTACCATTCCATATAATTATAAAGATTCGAAGACTCCCATCAATTATAGAGTATAAGGGCATTAAAGGAAGGTTAAATATATAAAAAAACATACTTTCCAATACTTTCTCAAATAGGAAATTAGAGTAAAGTGTAATTACTACCTTTGAACCATGCTTAAGTATAAAAATTATGCCATGAAGATTTAAGTGAATAAGATCCAATAATAAATGTTTTGGATATTTACATACATGCAACCCAATTCCTACGTATTTACATAAATCTAAATCATACCTTTTTGCATTTATATTGCCTACTTCATTCATATCACGTGGAAGTACCACCATTTTTAACATCTAAAGATTGAAATACATCTTTTCATGCGTAGCTAAAATGTCAAATTTAGATGTTAGATGTGTAAATACATAGGAAGTGAGTGACATATACGTAAATCTTCATAAAATTTCATATACTTCTGAGTTAGGTGATAAGGAGAAAGAAACCTGAGGGCTCTCTACTTTGGTTGCTCTAAGCAAATTGCAAATAAAACTATTGAAATTTAATAAAAGGGAATTTACATACTAACACATAAGAATTATATATTTACACATCAGACACTTTCATATTTAAAATTTTCACATCAAATAAAAATACTACCATCACTAACTTCAAAAATATGAAATATGCTTTTTCAAGCATGACGAAAGTGGCATTAATTTAAGAAAATTAAAGTTTGGATGTTAGATATGTAATGAAAATTGTCTCGCTTGTTCGTAAATCTGTCTTTTATTTAGGACTTATTTGAAAAAGAAGTGTATTACATTTCTCTTGCAAGGCTTTTAGGATTTCAAGTGTTTAACATAGGGATTTATCAATTCAATGTAAAATAGGGATGAATTTATAAGCTATTTCTTAGAGTGTATATAGGATTCTATGGATTTGATCCAATTTCAATTACACAATTCTATGCAAATAAATTGTTGGCCACTGCTGCTGCTGCTTGCCCCAATTGGCAGTCACGTCCTGTCAATGCGTTCGGCTATCTCCACCTCTTACCACTGTTGCTGCACGCCTCTGCCGCCCACAGTTGCCACCGCCGCTGCAGGCCACAACCACCTAAGGCCACCTCCCGCCCACAACCTCCACCTCTTACCACGATTAGCCACCATCTCCGGCCATCGCAGTCAGCACTGGCCGGCTTATTTCGTCACAACCACCACTATTAATTTATAAAAAACCTCACATATTTTGAAATGCATTTTTTTTATTCTACTTACAAAAATGAAGTTATAATTTTATTTTGCTTCAAATTAATCAATTGTCAAATATTATAAATAAAATATATTATTTCTATATTACATACATTTTAAGCTTCATAATCTATATGAAAGAGAAAAAAATATAGATTTTACTTGTATATTATTATTCAAAATTTGATTAATGCTCTATTTGGGGAAGCTGTGGCTTATTGAATAATTTGCTGATAAGGTGATTAAAAATAATCTTCTGATAAGCTATGTGTGATGACCATTATAATTTTCTATTTTTTTGGAAAAGCCAGACTGCTCTTAGAAGACTGCCACCACACCTATATAGGTGCGGTGTGAAAACACTGTTTTCAGTATTTGAAAACGCATAAGCTGTCAAAATGCAGTTTACCCAAATAGGACAAATACGTTTTCAAAACACTACCTCACTAAATAAGTTGCTCGAAACGGACCCTCAATCAAAAAGATATTTCCGCTAAGATATTTTTTAACTCATAGGAATAAAAGTCAGTCTAATATATTTGAAAAGTAAAATGGTTGAAGGGGATATCAACCTAACATTCATTTGGTCCACCCTGATAATTTTATATTTACGCATAAAGACTAGACCGAGTCTACAACAACTACCACCACCCATGACCCAACTGGACTAATATTCCATGCAAAAGAATTATAGTCGAATATCTAAATACACCAAATATGAAGCATCATTTCATCAATTGTCACCATCCAACGGCCAGAGAAAATCTTCCACCTGGATTAAAACGCATAAAGAAAATTCAAAGTAGGATATTACTTAGTGGGCAGCTCTTTAGCAGAATCGTCACACTGCGGCGGCTGCGATCTCCGGCAGGCAGTAGACCTTTTGCTCTCTTCCGGCGAATACTTCCTTAAGAAGAAGAGTTTCCCACTAGGGTTTTGCTCCTTCAGTTCTCCCAACATGATTTTTCGGCTTGGAATCTCCTTTCAAGATTTGGTCTTCATCTGCTTCCTCCTTCTGTTCACCTTTCTTCGCCGATCGGAATCCTCGTGCCGGAGTAGCTGCGACCTCGCTCTCGGCTCATATTATGTCACGTCGGAAGCCTCAAACCTCACATACGTCGCCAACTTCTTCAACCAAAAGCCGAAGGAGGTGCTGTCTTACAACTCTCTTAGCAGCCAGGACAGCATCATAAGCGGCACTCGAATCAACATCGGTTTCCCTTGCGAATGCATTTCCGGCGATTTCCTTGGCCGGAACTTCTCCTATACCGCGCAGTCTGGCGACACTTACGACATCATCGCCTCTAACTATTACGCAAATCTTACCAACGCCGTATGGCTCGCGGCCACCAACAGCTACCCTTCAAGCAATATCCAGATCGGGGACGTTATCAATGTAATTATCAATTGTTCTTGTGGGGATCCAGCGGTGTCGATGGATTACGGCCTGTTCGAGACCTATCCGCTTCGGGCCGGGCAAACCCTTGATTCCGTGGCAGCGGCGTTCAATCTGTCCTCGCAGAAGAGCTTGATTCAGCAATACAATCCCGGGAAAGATTTCAGCGCTGGGTCTGGGATAGTTTTCGTTCCTGCAAAAGGTGCGCTTCCTTTGGAAACTGGCTTGGAATCAAGTTTAAAATAATTAACTTGTGAAGTAATAAGTTTAGTTTCCTATAACAGTATGGTTGATGCTGTTTGTGTTTCGATTGAACCATTGAGAGAAAGTAACTCGCGAAGAAATTCTTTTCCAAATTCATCAGGGCTTAGTTTTAATTTGAAATCTAAACCACCCCACAAAACAGGATTGCGCAGATTCGAGAAAAAAACTAGAACAATCTTACAAACAGAAGCACAACAAAAGAAATTAGAAAACGACACAAGAATTTAACATGAAAAACCCGATAACGGTAATAAACCATGGAGCCACGCTGCCAGAAAATTTTCACTCTGAAAATTAGAGAGTTTACAGAAAACACACTTAACTTTCTTTGCACACCTCGCTTTCAAACTCTTTCTTCACCGATTCAACCCGAGAAATGCATGTCAAAATCACTAAAATTCTTCTCTCAAACACTGCTCACATTCACCGATTCGATGCGAGAAAGACACGTTAAAATCTCCAAAATCCTCATTTCCAACACTTCTCACCTTCATGAGGAGTTCTTATTGAAGAAGAATGCACAAGAAGTAGTGAACACACCACTCGAATTTGGTCCCGTAAAACAGGAATGACACACCAACAGCTTCGGGCACATAGACGCATGGAATTGGCGCTAAGGCGCCAAGACCTCTGGATCGAGTGCTTAGGTGCCCAATAGCTGGTGCCTAAGCTTCAACTTTACTGTAGCGCTCACATATGCGGCCGATTGTTCTGGAGCTGGTTGTTCTGGAATTGGTCAGTGAGCTGCACCCACAACCAGACGCTTAATTGTTGGGAGCTCGGTCCCGTGTGGGTGGTTCAGCTCCACACACCCAACAATCTCCTACTTGGAGGCGTTAACATCCAACACCAGTCATCTATACCTACACCTCTATCTGAATCACCTTCATAGTCACGCACTGTGGTCACGTACTATGGTGTAGCTGACACTCGGTTTCAATTTTCATGAAACCCAACTGAAGTCAAGCATAGCTTTTTCATCAGAAAAATCTTATTTGAAGCAGAAGTTTTTCATACATCTTACTCAGTGTCGCTATGAGATCCACCGTAGTTTTCTCATTTAAAGTGTTAAACACAACATGTGAGAAAAGTGACAACCGGATCAAACTTAGTGTCGTTCGATTCAACACTTCTCATTCCTCCGTAGACATAGACTCAAACTTCTTTATCATTCCTTATAGTGGCAAGTATAATTTTTTCTGATACAACAAATCTTCTACTTGCATCTTCCAGATTGCGAAGTGCTTATTGAATTTCTCCACTTTGAACCTTGCTTCATCGATCATTGCTTTCACTCGAATAAAACTCATCTTTGATATCACTATATTTGGAGAAAATAACTCGCTGAGAAATCCCTTTCCCAACTCACGGGGCTTAGACTCAATTTGAAATCTAAACACCACCATGGAATAGAATCACATAGATTCGAGAAAAAACCAGAGCAATCCTAGAATAGAAGCACAACAACAAAACAAATCAGAAAATGCCAACAATTTAACACAAAAAAACCCAAGAACTAAAAATAGTCACGGAGCCACATAATCAAAAAATTCTCACTATGAAAATCAGCGTGTTTATGCAGAACATACTCAATTTTCTCTCAACAGTCATGGAAGCTTACATGACCTCACTACAAACTCTTCCTTCATCGATTCGACGCTAGAAACACACGTCAAAATCGCCGAAATCTTCCAGCACTTCTCACATTCACCGTGAGTTCTTTTCGAAGAAGAATGCATAGGAGGTAGTGAACAACCCGCTCGAATTTGGTCCCTAAAACAGGAATTGTGCATGCATGGGCACCCAGACTTGGCTCTGAGGCGTTAAGACCTTTGGATCGAGCGCCTAAATTGGGCGCTTAGGCACCCTATAGTTGGCGTCTAATCGCCATCGTTACTGCAGCGCCCACATGTGGGCGAATATGTGCCATGTTTTGGAATTGGACAGCAAGCAGTGCCCAAGTGGCCTTTTGAGCACGCAGGGCGCTCGGTTTTGTGTGGGTGCTTTGCCTCCACAAACCCAACATGAATGAGAAAAAGTCATCTTAAAGTGGTTTCTGACTGAAATATGTTTCTTTTGATTTATTTTCTTAAAAAATAGCAACTTCCTATCCGTTCCATTCCTATAAAGCTCACAACCCATTGCGACAATCATAATGATATTTTTGGCTCATCTTGCTTGACTATTGCCTTGGTTGCTTTTTCTTTTACATTGTTTGTTGATGAACGCACTAAAACAAAGAGTTTACTAATGATAGAGAAGTAGGATACCAGTCGTGCTTCAAAAATTTCACTCATTCATAAAGAACCAATTCCGAACCTAAATCAAGTCTTTTAGACTAATAAAGGGAAAAAAAATTATTTCAGTTCTTGAAGAATATCTCGTCCAACAGAGAATTACCAAACTTCTTGGATTGTATTCAACAAAATAGGTTCGTAGAAAGAAAATATAGACACATTTTGGTGGTTGCTTAATTAATTATGACCATTAGCAATATTCCAAAACATTATTTGTGAGGCTGCCCTTAATGTTGCATATCTATTCAATTACATGCCCTCATGAATTTTAGAATTGAACACTTCTTGCCAAACCCTTACTCATTCTCATTCCTTGAATAGAATTATATCCACCATCTCTATTAAGGTATTTGGCTGCTTAGCCTTTGTACATATTCCTCAGAAAAAATGTAAATTAAAGTTAGAAGCCATAAAATGCATTTTTATTGTATACTCTTCTCACCAACAAAGTTACAAATGTTATTATTTTAGTATTATAAAAATACTACACTACCATAAATTGAACATTTTTTGAATACAAATCATTCTTTCGCATATACTACATTTAGGGGGAAAACATCAACTCTCTGGGGGAATATGAATTTTGTGATAATATGAGTACCATTTTATTGATATCTCAACTTTTATTTCTTCCAAACTACTCGAGTCTAATCCACTTGAATCTCAGTATTTCAAAGATCACATATAACAAGCAGATAAATGGATTGTCTATTCTAGATGATTGAAAAAAACAACAGACAAGATAGAGCAAAGCATTTTTCCTGAACTAAACCCAATGTTTGACCTAAATCGCAACATCGATTCACAAGGAGAAGATAATATCATAATATTGATTCTGATGATAATATCGGCAGTTTGATTTGTGAAGGGTTTGTGTGGGATTAACCTTGATTTGAATGTCTTTAGAACAACTCTTCTTCACAGCCGCCAATCATTTGATGCTTTCTTAAACATACTCCTGTCATGATTTTTATTTTTATTTTATTTTTTAATTTATTATTTTTTTAATTTTTGCTTCAAAGTCTAGAGTTTTGGGTCAGGGCGGAAGGGGAGAATGGCAAGGGAGCAAAGCTGGGTTGGGATTGGGTGAGGATGCGAAAGGCTGAGGTTGCTCATGGATTTGAACGAAGCTGGGTCGTAGTGTAGGAAGATATGGGATGAGGGTGGCTAATTCATGCGGGTGTGAGGCCTATGGGGATGTGCGAATCTGATAATGCAAGTAAGGTGAGTTGTTCTGAGAGATATAGGGAGCGATAGGTGTTCATGCAATTGATTTTCTTAATTGGTATTAATATAGTCACAATAATTTTACATAAAACATTTGTTACTATTATAAACATAAGTTGTTTCAATATAAGGGGATTTACATACATAGCATATAGTTCTTACGTATTTACATATCTAATATCTATATTTTAATATTTATTTATATAACATCCAAATTTTTAAAATTACAAAAAAATACCACTAATACTGAAATACACATATTTTTTTTATGTGATTGTAGTGCTAAAGTGCCATATAAGTAAATATTAAAATTTAGGTATTATATATGTAGATGCATAGGAGTTTTATGGTATGTATGTAAGTCATCCATTAGCTTACTACAATTTAATTCATTTCATACGTAATAGAGTTAGTTTCTAATTGAAAAAATTATAAAATTGATTTAATTTAGAATTTGATAATAATTTAAATGTGTTGTTGGCTTTCTCTTTTAGTTTCTCTCCACTTGCACGAGGATATTTTTTATTAGCATCTTGAATGTGGGTGAATTATAATTTTATTGCAAATTTAAATTATTCGGGCATCTTAATAATTTATTATTATCTTTGCTCGTGAGTTTTGATCTTCCATTCAACGTTGCACTCATGTAACATTTTTTTCATCCATTATTGCATATGAATCCTTATTTCACATATTTGTTTGAGTACTTCTGCATGAATTTTTTCATCTTTTCCTTCATGTGATAATTTTAACGAAAGTCATTTTAGGTAATTTTTACTCTCTTAATGCATGGATGCGTTTTGTTTATACATTTTATTTTATCAACTTTAGGAAGCACACATAGAGGTCAATGCTTGATTTCAACTAGTTAGCATTGCCTTTAATCTCCAAAGGTTGGCAGTTGTAGATGATCTTTGCAGCGAATTCAATTGTATCTATGCACCAGAAAGCACCTAATTACGATCTACCTGCTGCTCAAAACGAACACTTTCTTAGAGTTATTATGCTGCTCATGGAAATTAGGAGGTTCAAGAGGTGATTCCTGAAGGAGATGTCAGACACATGAGTAGGGGCAATTGCTAGGTTTATGGCTGGGGCATTGGCTTGCTTGGAACAACTTCTCAATGAATTTTTGTTTACTGTTTCTTCTTCTAATTATCCTAGTTGCTATTGTATTCGTAGTCTCTTCAGCTCATTCTTTTAAAATTGCACAATAAGAGGCATGCCTTGAGACCCATATTAACGCTTTTTATAAAAAAATTATTATGAGACTTATACCTTATTGTCCCTGGGTGAGCCATGGTTACACCTCACCTTGACTAAGTCACGTCTCCCTTCAAAAGGCTCCTCAAAATTTTGAGACTATTTATAAATTTCTTATTAAAATTAAAAATAATATCAATATATCTCACATATCAACCCTAACATCTCAGACACGTTAAATAGCAGGAAATAAGCGGAAAATGTATAAAAAAAAAATTATGTAGTTGAAGTTTTAACTATAAATATAATTATTATTTTAATTAATATCTTTATTGAGAATTTTTTATTAAAAAGAAGAAGATAGCCGAGCTTAAATATAAAGAGGAACAATAGATTATGAATATGAATGTGGATAAGACGCTCGATAAACAATTCATGATGTTGTTGACCCACATGAAAATTCATTGGATAATGATAGTAACATCGTTTTTTAAATTTAAAAATTTAAATGCTATTAATTTGTTATACTGGAACAAGTAGAGAAACTAGCGAAAATGAAGCAAACTTTTTTTGATACTGGATTAGGGTTACAACATGACACAAACAAAAAAGGGAAATAGAATGATATACTAATCTCCGACTAGGACCATAAGAGAAAATCTGTGATGGTGGTGGCGTCAGCGAAGTGGTAAGGGAGCTAGCTAGTCAAGGCCGAAGTTTGTGAAGGGGATCAAAGTGGTGATTTGGAAGGCCAGTAGGTGGGTTGGGGTGAACGTGGAGTGTTAGGCAACAAGATTTGCTGTAGGGAACGTGGCGGTGGGGGGGGGGCTGGGGGGTAAACTGGACAATAAGATTATGCTGTTGGGAGGAGGGAGGTTGGGTGCTAAGATGAAGTATGGGGAGGCCGACGACGGAGGAACAGTGAGAAGAAGGGTTAGTTAAGGGTAAAAAAGAAGATATAACATCACCTCAGATATGGATAGAAGCTGGAGCACCACTTGTCATCGGATATAATCCTAGCAAGAGGGAAAATGACTCTACACTGGAAATCTAAAAGCAAACACAACAAAACTAAACTCTAACTTCAGAAAAATAGTAGATATAGGACTCTCCATCGGAAACAATCGCCAAAGGAAAGAAATAGAGGAACGAGCGATGCTTCTGCCTTGTCCAAAATTTGCCGGGACCGGTTTCGTCAAGCAAGGCGAGTCTGGGCCGGTCTCCTTAAGCCTCGCCTGGACCGTTACCCTAGCCCCGCGTAAGTGTTACCCTTTACTTTGGATAATTTATTACTTTTTACTTTGTTAGAATATTGTTATATTATTATTTTTTAATGTGTTCATATCTTAGAATATTAATACATTATTTCTTGCTTCACACTTTATACTTTTATCCAATATTTATTAATTTACGCATTTTTTAAATTTGAGGCTTGCGGCTCAAAAAATTTTGAGGCTTATTGTCGTTTCATGGATGAAAAACGTCTCACTACTCAATTGCACGATTTTAAACCTCATTTCGGTTATCTTGAAATACCCTCGAATTTCTTCTCATATTCATGAATCTAATATTTGGAAAGTTTCCAAAAATTATCTTGCTCCAATGAAATCTTTTTTAAACTCTTATCTTTTTTGCGATTTTCTTGCTTAATATGATCCATGCCTTGTAAGCATTTTTCCTGGACTGTTGACATGCGTTTTTGATGGTTCTTTTCTTTTCAGCTTGTAAGGAACCCAATATATTGCCATTGGGATATTGCTGAGCTGATTTGTTTGTCCGTGCTTAGTTTTTCATCTCCCTATGCGGCTATGTTGGTTCTGTGGTATGCTATTTTTGTCGCTGGATTAGTGGCATATCTGAGAAGCATTTTTTAGGGGGGAACATACGAATTTGTGGTTTAATTCTAGTGGTTTTTCTTTCCACTTGAATATATGCATTTTAATTCTAGTGGTTTTATTTTTCATTTTGTTTTATTAACACTTGTTCATGATAAACCACAATTGCTAATTATTAATATATATGCTCCATCTGCAGATCCAAGTGGAAACTATCGCCCACTTTCACCCAGGTAAGTATGTGATGGTGGATTCTTAGCTGTGCTTTGATCAATAAATTTTTGGGCATTTACATGCCACCCAATTCCCTATGAATTTACATATTTAACACCTAAACTTTACTTTCAACAATTATACCACCCAAATCCTTCATATCACATAAAAGATACCACAATTTTAACTTTTAAAAAGTGAAATACACCATTCTATGCATAGGTAAGGTGGTATATATGTAAAAATTGAAGTTTAGGAGTTAATAATGTAAATAAATAGCAATTAAGTGGTACGTGTAAATCTTTCATAATTTTCCTTTGTTTTCTATTGGTTTTAACTTTCCCCGTTCTGTTTTTGCAGCCAAAATGGTTGGACCTCCTTTTCTCATTTTAACGGTGATACATTGCCTAGTTAATTATTGGTGAACATTTAGGAGCTAACAGTAAACATGAACCTGAAATTAATCAGGATTATCTGGTGGAGCTATTGCTGGAATTTGTGTGGGTGTCGTTGTAGTCCTACTGATGGTTGTGTTGTTCTTATATTTTCGAGTTTGTGGGAAGAAGGCAAAGAAGACTTTGCTCCCGGCAATATCTGACCATCACACCACTCCCCTGAGACATGGTATTCTTCTGAAAAATTAATATCATTTGTTTAGCTTTTTTTTTTCATTGAAAATTCTTTCAACTGCTTTTTCTTTGTTCGTTGCATGAACTATGAAGCCTTGATGCCAAAATTTCAAGTTTCAACTGCTTTTATTATATTTTTGCTGATTTTTTAGAGAGGATTTGCTCTGTTTCAAGTAGGTTGAGTTTTTTTTTCACTGAATTTTTATGCTCAGTTTTTCACTGTTACCCAACTACAAAATTTTTGAGAGAACCGTTAAACGTAGAGTCCTATCAGGAATTCCTGAGTACTATTTGTTGAATCCAGATCTACCCTTTGGTTCATACCCAAGGAAAAGAGCGCAGAATTCAAGGGAAGGAGAAAGAAAATGAGAGAGAGAGTTGCTCCGTGGGGGGTAAAGAAGGGTGTTCCCGGGCTCTTTGACCCCTTTTATTCTACACAACTTGAAGGTTACAGGTGGGAAGAAGGGAAGAGTTCTCTTTTACACGGGGGTTGAGAGAGAGAAAGCCTAGGGACCTCTTTTTGCATTTAGGGGTCCTCTATTTATAGAGAGATAATGATGAGAAAAGAATATTACATTTATGCTCTCGCTTTAAGGGGAGTTGTGAAGGATATCATGGTCTTTTTCCTGCTTAGATCAGTCTTCCTGGAGTGTTCTCGTCGCTGGATTCATTGGCACAAGTGGCTGGCTCAAGCGGTCGATGTCGGCCTGCGATGGTCGGCCTTTAGTGGTCGGCCCTCGGTGGTTGGCCCTTGGTGGTCAGCCTTCGGTGGTCGGCCCTTGGTGGCCGGCTGGCTGAGTATGGCCGGCCAGGGTGGCTGGCCTAGGTGCCGACAACGGCTTCGACAACAAATTTCTTTTAGCTTGGTGAGGGCTTTTTATTTTGGCTATACATAAAGCCCTTGAATTTTTAACTTATCAGAAGCAAAACTGCGATAAGAATGAAAAACTCAAAAGTACAAAAAATACTATTTCATAAACCTCTAGCTCGACTTCGTTTCATAACAGTCCTTTCGTTGATCTTTGATGAGTAGATTTTTTAGAATATTATTTGCTTACTCGTCCCTGTAGAGAGACTTTGATGGAGAGAGAATATATTTATCTTTTTTCTTTCTTCATTTAAGAAAACTAAATAAGTTAAAGAAAAGATACTTATTCTTTTTGCTCCCCCGTGAAGGATTCTTATTAACTCCCTTCTTCACTACATCTTGTGAGTCAAAGCTGCTGTTTGATAGGATGCCTAACCTAGATTAATAAGAATCTGATAATGGATATTGCGTTTATCTGAATTGTGAATGTTTTATTTGCATATCAGATGGGCCGAATGCATGCGGATATATATGGTAGTTGATTGCATGCGATTTAGGTTAACCAATTATCAGAAAAAGGAACTATTAAGAGTTTGTGTTTTGGGGCTTTTGGTTGGTTGGCATTTAAATTTTTACGTTGGCTCGTCATTTTGAAAATTTTTTGTTGATATAATTTTATTGGACATTTTTTTAATCTAGTAACAAGTACTATTACGGAAGTCTCAAAAGATGTGCTTAGAGAATCAAAAGTAAAAACTGTTTAAAAAAAAAAAAATTATTATAAAAATTGGTTCAAATATAGAAGTTTGGAGAATTAGGGAGAAAATGAGGTGGTTCATAGGGAGTCTAAAAGAATAATTTATGATATTAAGAATTATTCTTTTTTTGATTTTAAGAATAGATTAAATATTAAAGATAGTGATATATATATATATATATATATTTATATATATATATAAGTCTTAGGGCTAATATATTAAAAAGGAAGGTATAGATAGGTTGGATAAGAGGACTCAAATAATGACACCCTGCCCACTCGGTAGACAACACACACTAAAGCCCCAAAAAAGAAACCAATCTTCCAATACCCCTTTCAGACGCATTTGCTTATAGAGAAATTTACCAATTAAGATCAATCGATAGGATGAAGCTCAAATGGAGATTTCAGTTTCATAGAGAAAGATTGTAGGCTTACCATTTTAACGGGACATTTTTTTAAGAAATCCGGTTTCAACGCGCCGCGCAAAGGTGTCGTGGTATCTATGTGGGAACATACACGAAATAGGAGTGTGATGTGGTTTTTTTTATGCGTTATAAATATTTTTCAACACCACAACACATAAAACAACTATACTAAAAAATATGCAAATTAATCACAATAAAATTTACTTCAGTACAATAAGTTTTCTTTTTTAAAATATTTAAATCTGTCACTCTTAGTGAATTAAGGTGTACTTTTAATTTTAAATTGTCAATAGATTGCAAACGCAAGTATATGTATCACTCAATTAATAAAGGACTATAATAGAGTCTTAAGTATCGATCTCATAGGGAGGTGAAAATTTGTTATTAAAATCACGAAAAAACACAATATTTAAACTATAGAAAACTTAAGCAAGAAAACATATCGAAATTTGTTTAATGCCACTAAAGAAACTACGTTTACTGCACTAATCTCTAAATTTCAAAGTTAATTTTACTAAAACTAAACTAGGTTTTGTGATGAAGAATTCAAATTTAGGAAAACATCATTCCCCTTACAATGAGATTATAGTTAGTGAATTATCAAATTGAAGAAAATTGTATTGTGCCAAATAAGAGCAATTATATTCTTTATTCTTTTTACAAGCGATAAAAAATATTGGCGAATCCAGTGTTTAGTTCCTAAATCTGCGGCTATGCTGGGAAGATACTGACTAGATTTTGCGATGAAGAGACTAATCCGGTGTTTAGTTTACTAAAACTGAACTAGGTTTTGTGATGAAGAGTTCAAATTTAAGAAAACATCATTCCCCTTATAATGATATTATAGTCAGTGAATTATCAAATTGAAGAAAATTGTATTGTGCCAAATAAGAGCAATTATATTCTTTATTCTTTTTACAAGCGATAAAAACATTGTCTAATCCAGTGTTTAGTTTCTAAATTCGCGGCTAGGCTGAGAAGATACTGACATTCTCTCCAGAGTTATCACGTTCCCCTCGCCCGATGGCTAACATTTCGCTTTAGTTTCCAAACCCCTGGACCAAATTGGGGATTGTAGTCTGTCACCCTAAACTCTCTAATTCTATGCCCATCAATGAATATTTCCCTATTTATTTGCTTTCAACCTCATGAACTACATTCTGATCCATGAAATCGAATGTGATTCTTACTTTGTTGTAGAAAGCATAGCCCTCTCAGATCGTTTTTTTTACATTGAATTTTAACAATTAAACTGATCAGACCAGAAAGTAAATAAAGTTCGAAGTTTGAATCATCACAAATATGAAATGAAAATATTGCACAACAATCTTGATTCTTCACATGTTCATTTCTCTTTGTAGGGAGAAAGACAAATAAATCTACTCAGAATTCATGAGAAAAATACAACAAATAAATTATATATATAAAAATAAGTTTGCAAAACAAGAAATAAAAGTAAAACAACTTAACTCGACCTCTTCCCCAAGCAAATCGCTTGAAGTTCCTTTGAATCTCTCTGTTTACAATTACGCTCAAATCTCTTCTAAAAATATAAGGAAGAAGAATTTCTTACTTTCCTTCTTCTCTTACAACTCTTAGAGACACTTGTCACACTCTCTCACAATTTGGAACTCACGCCCCCTTCACTAACACTCCAAAACTTACGCCACACACACTCAATTCTGACATAAAAAATACTCTTTCATAATGTAGGGATGAATTTCCAAAGAGTCTCCATGGACACCTTTTCAAAATTCTTCCAAATTCAATGCATTTGTGAAAATAACCATCTTTGGCGCCTAGCGTCAAAATCTGGCGCCTAGGCGCCGTCTTCTCTGTTTCTGGCGCTTAGGCGCCAGTTTTGACGTCTAGGCGCCTATTTAATTCTTTGAAAATGCCACTTTTGATTCTAAATTTCGTTCTTTTTGCATTCTTTAAGCTCTCAAAATGTCTAGACTTAGTATATCTGTAATAAAACATGAAAATATATTTCTTTAAAGTGCAATATCACCAAATATAAGCCTTAAATATATATGAAAAATTGAATATTTTTTTTGTGTATCAAAATTCCCAAAACGTAAATGTTACTTGTCCTCAAATAACTTTTTTACTACATAAAAAGTATGACTTATGGCAGTGAGCATCACTTAAAAACTTCTATAGTTTTTATTTTATAAATATAATAGTAAGACTTTAGAAAAAAATTAAATAACTTAAGTTAAAACTAAAAATATTAGAATATATAGTACTTAAGTATACGAGTTTTGGTTTCGTATTCATTTCAAAAATAATTATAATTTGTCATATTAAAGATGCTTAGAAGAACTATATGAAAAATAACTTCTATATGAAAAATAACTTCATTGAAAAATAACTTCATTAGTAAAGATGCTAATACTTTAATATGAGTTTGGAAATGTATTTAAGGCTCTTTCTTTAAGTTGATTCAAGTAAAAATAATTTTTGATTAGGCATCTCTTCAACTTTTACTCTGATATATTTTTCTTTTTGTTTTTCTTTTTATTTCTTTTTTTTTTCTTTTTTCTTTTCTTTTTCTTTTCTTTTAAGATCGTTTTCAATCATTTTTTTTTGAATTTTTTTTTAATGTCAAGATTACTATATCTGGATAGTCTTTAATGATTTTAAACTTCATTATTCTTTTCTTAAAATTTAAAACTTCATTCATTTCTTACTTATAAATACATATTAGCTTTTAAAAAGATTTTTCATAAAGTCTCAATAATTTCTTTTAATATAATTCTAAAACTCTTAATATTTCAAAACTACAATTTCCTTAACTTTAAATAGTACACATAACCTTATATTCTTATACTTAATATCTTAACTTTTAGAACTAACCTTCATTATCAAAGATTTTTACTTGTCTACAATCATATTTATAAAATAAAATATATGGTTATATTTAAGTTGACCTCTGATACCAAAAGTTAGTTAAAAATAATTTTAAAAATATAATTTATTGAGGACAAATAAAGTTTTGT